GTGAAAAACATTTTTTAAAGCAGTAAATTAAAGGGATTTTTTCAATAGAATTTTTTCTTCTATTTATGTGGTCACTTTTGTTCACCAAAGTTTTTTAAATTGATGGTAAAAATTTACCTATCGAAAAGGATCGAAAAAAAATAAACAAAGGGGGCTTTATTTTCAATCCAAAAGTTATTAAACAACCGATTGGTAAAGAATTTATTTTACTAAAAAAAATAATTTCTATTTTCAGTAAAACCAAAAGTATGATTCAGTCGCTACGATTATTTTTACCTCTACCTCTGCAACTGCTAGTATAATACCATACTCAATTCCAGATTTTTCGGTTTTTTTTCACGAGTGAATGAGTTTGTCAGACAAAGAGACAGCAACCTAGACAGATGACACTCAAAAACCATTTTTTTTTATCCTAGAGGTCTTGAAACGTGAAGATTAGTCAAAATCTGCCAATGTCAATATCCCAACTGGGATCAATATTTTTTCAATAAAATAAATAAATTGAGTGGTTTTCTTTCACTTATTCTTAAGCTTCAAACCCAACTAAAAACAATAACAAATAAAAACAAATACTTTTAACTCACTTTTTTTATTACACAAAAAAAAAATCCTCATTAACTTCTAGTATTAAATGACATTTTTCCTCTAGTATACATTTTTCCACCTCTAAACTCCATTTAAATAATTCTCCTTCAAATTCGATGTCCCTCTCAGCCACATCGAAACCACCACATAATTACCCCCACGCTCATATTCCCAACCCCACTCGTTTCCGACCTCTCGAAGTTAATTAGCAAATAATTTCGTTATATTTCAGTTTTCTAATTAATTCTTAAAATTATATTTCCACTCTACTTTATCGAGTTTTTAATTCCTCTCAAAAAAATTTTCAACTTCTTAGTTTTATTGACTTCCATTAAACACTTTATTCCATAAAAGTCCGCAGTAGTTAAGAAGGACAGCAATATTAAATCAAGGAGATTTTATTAAAGGAATTTTTCATTAAAAGTCATTTAGGTATGGACCCTTTGAATATACATACAAAAGCCGTTGCATAAAGCAAAAGTTCAATTTAAAGGAACAGTGCATGAGGCTGAAATCGATTCAACAAATTTCTGGCATTCGACTAGGTCACGTAGACATGCTTTCAACGATATGCGTACACACGTGCTTTATTCTCGGCAGAGATCACATGTATGTTAGAGTTTTAACGATCACTCGATATGAAACCACCAGTGAATGTAATCTCTATGCAGTAGATACCAGAATGCTTCACTATTTACGTATCGTTGGTGCATACATTTTTGCATCAATATGATAAATTCATACAATAATAATATGTTACATTATCGTATATTATCATATTCAAAACTCAGTTGACACTAAATAAAATCGAGTACTTTTAATTAATGGACTCAATTGAATATGAGTGAAATGAAATCCTAAATGTCCAATTAATGTAATAACTGGATAAAAAAGCATTTCAAGCATTCATCTGTGGATTGCAGAAATTTATGAATATTCGATCATAAAGATTGAATGTATTCTCCCTCACGTTATCACGCATAAAGTACGACATTATCAAAATTGCCATAGTTGGCAATGTGTTGGTGCTAGGCTAAAAGGGATATCAGGATGAAAATCGTGGATGATGGAATGATCAGTTGAAAGCAGATCTCTTGTCGATCTGGAATTCCAACCCATAAACTGCTATGGAATCGATTTACATAACGGGTGGGATTGTCGTGAAGACTTTCATGAACTCCATAAATCAACTATGAAGTTTATAGTCACCACATAAAAACAAAAAGCCTAAGAGTTATGTTAAAACTTTGTGATAATTTACATGATAACTTTTTTTATGATTTTTTTGTCGTTTCCCAACAACGAGGAAAACTTTTGTGACATTTAATCTTGGAAAGTAGGTCGTTCAAGGACAATGTTAGCTTATCTATATTGCGACTATTAATGTTTTCCTATTGTTTATTCGATTATCTTTGACCTTAGGTCCTTTCCCCCTTTGTTGGACTCCCTGTTATTGTCAACGAAATAGTCCATGTTCAGGGACAATAGTCAATCAAAGTCAATCGAGTACTATAGTGTTACATGCACCAGTGACCATTTGATTGATAGATAGATGATAGCAATAGTTAAAGGTGGTGGACATTGCATTGATCAAATTCATTGTTCTAAATGCAAGTACTAATTTTGAAACGATTGTTGATTCTTGCTAGACTTGAAGCAGTACAAATACAAACACCAGGAGTAATAGTTTACTTAGTCTTAAATGATGAATCCTAGAAGTCTTCAAATCATTCAATTCATTAATTTCATTTTCGTAAATTCATTTAATTTTTGGGTAGAATATTTCAGTTGATTTTTTTCTTTTTAAATTAGAAATATATACATCTATAAAATAACGATCTCGAAGAAGATTGAAGCATAACCTTTTCATTTTTTAGAAGACCTAAAAGCTACCCTTTCCAACCCCGTAGACTTGAAAGCTTTAAGTCTTTCCCTCTTTCTGTCTATTACAGACTACAAATTTTTTCTCTTTCACTTTATATTCTACTTCGTCTTCCTTTCGCCATCATCCAACTTAAGTGTGTGTACTTGTTGTCTCTTGTCCATGCCGATGCCCGAGGCTTCTTGTGGCGTGCTTTAAGTTAAACAATCACGAGTTCCTTATACTCCTCACTTGATGATAGAAAAATGTGAGTGTCACTACATTATTCATAAGAATCATCAGCATCTTAAAGCACGATCGATTTTATTTTCATCACAAAAATTAATTTACAGCGACAAAATAAAGCTAAATAAAGTCTCTCAATATCCAATTTTTCCTCTACTCTTTCTTAATAACAAATGAGAGACATTGACAAAGCTGAAAATGTCACAAAACTTTTTTCTTCGAGTCAAGACGACTTTCTACGCGGATAAAAACTTTTGTAAACTCCAGGAGGTCAACATTCAGCGTCTATTGTCCTGTTTCACTTCCTTTCTTTTTCTCCCGTCGTTTCCTGTAGAAAACTAGGTATTGTCATCCACCACAGAATTGGTTGTTCGCCATACCACCAACCAGTTTTTGAAATATTCCAGGACTTGAGATTTCCCTGGCTAAGTTCAATTTTTTGGTTCTTTTTTCTGCGTAACATCGTCCAAACTACTTTCCCAACTTGTTGCCTTTTCTCCCAAGTTAGCTCTCAAATAGTCTCCATAGCTTACTGTCATTTTAAACTAGTGTCTGAACAATAAAGTTACTTGTTCAAAACAATCACCTGAAAATTTTCAGAGCTTACTTTATCTTCCAATTCTACACTGACAATTTATCCACATTTACCACATCAAATCTTATTCCTCCATTTCCATCAACTTCTTTCTGACTTGAAAATAAAAATTGTACCAACAGTTAACATTGACTATTGAACCTGAATATTAAACTATAAGAATATTAAAAGTCTTCTTAGACTCCTTTAAAGACAAAGAAATTACTGAAGCTGCAAGATTTCCCTCTCGATTCAACAATCGAGAGCTTCTTAAGACCTTTAGATGAATATTTTATGTTTAAGCATCATCTCAAAAGCTTCAATAATTATATAGACATCGTGTCTAAGCTACCTTTAAGAGTGAAAAACTTTCAAACTCAAGATTGCTTAAGAGTATTGGTATACATGCAAGATGCTCGAAATAGTCTGAGTGTCCTTTCAAAATTTTCAAGTAAACAAACCAGTCCATTAGTCTCAAATATCACTTGATGGTGATTGAATTCCTATTGATATATAATGGCGAAAAAGCTTTTATAGTGCCTTCATAAGGAGAATGCGAGAAGAGATAAAAAAGGAAAATGGATACAAAAAAATCCTAACAACTGTATCGATAGCAATATACTTTTTTTCTGCACCAGGATCAAATAATTGCTATCTTGAACGTCTTAGTAAATAGTTTTTCACTTGAACACGAGAAGATTTACTTCATACAGTGTTACATCTTCATTTCACTGTTGTTCCTGAAGCTGTAGCACTTGAAGAAAATTAAACTTCATGATTCAGAGACACATTTACCATTAAATTACGATGTCATTTATTTCAATTATCAATTCTACCTTTTATTTTTCATTTCCACTCCACAGTTAATAAAAGAGTATTAAAATTGATCGTATTGAAGCATTTTAATATATTTTTATTGCATTGCTTGCAATAAAAAATATTTTTTCTGTCTGGCCAAGTTTTATTAATTTCTTTTGATCTCCTTTAGATTAATTATGCTCATAATTTAGTTATTAATGCTCATAATTTATCAGGAAATAAAATAATAATAAATTTTATTATAAAATATAGATACTTATACAAATGTAGACAGAAGTACTAGGTAATTTTAGTTCGATAAGATTAATAATATAATTTGCCGACACAAGCGGAATCGATTAGCCAGTTCATTCGAGCGTTATGGTAATTGGAAGCAATTACTTGCTATGAGAGATGGAGAAATAGACAATAGATAGGTGTAGGAAATAGAGAGTTAATATAGTTTTATTAGATTTCTATAACGTTACTTATTGTTACTCTTGAAGAGTAATTAATTTTTTATTATAATTCATAACTTTTCATAGCATTGCTCTTCTTATATCTTCAATATTAATACTTTTTCTATTTTATTCCAACCTTTTCCATGATTATATGAAAAATTAGAGAGGAATATTTTAAAATTAATAACTGTGTTCTTTCTGTAAAATGATTCAATAAAAAGTTAACAAGAAAAATTGTTTTTTAGCTGAAGCAGACTTTTTTTTTTAATTAATTAAAAATGGATATTGTTGGAGTAATGAATAATAAAACTCGTGAAAAAATCGAAAATAGTCGACGGTGAAATATTAAATATCATTTAGACTCTATCACATTGATTTCAATTAAATGGAATATTCAGAGGATCGAAAAATGTACAAAAAAAATTCCATTGAATTTAATTTATCAAGAAATTGAATAAAATATTTTAATTTACAGGCGCAGCTGCGGTAGTTTCCTTGGCCGGTGGTCATGGTTTCGATGCTCACCTACGTGGTCCGAGTTTTCTCATTGAACCTCCATCAAGAATTGAGTTCTCCAATTCAAGCGGTGCCTGGCTTGACTGCGCTGCATCCGGCAGCCCAGCACCCAACATCGACTGGTCCACCGCCGACGGACTTCCGGCTGGTGATGTGCCGGGTGTCAGGAGAGTACTCAGAAATGGCACTCTCGTACTCCTTCCGTTTCAGGCTGCAGCATTTCGGCAGGATGTTCATAGTGCGGCTTACAGATGTGTTGCCAGTAATTCAGTTGGCCGAATACTCAGCCGTGACGTCCAAGTTAGAGCAAGTAAGACATGTTTTTTTTACCAATAAATTCCCGGTAAATAACCTTACAGTGACGTTATCACATTAACGTATTACAAAATATCCAAAAGGAAATTAAACCCATCATTTTTGAAAAGTAAATTTAAAGGAATTTTATCATGCCTGACTAAAAGACGACTATACTACTGTTAAAATTATATTAAAAGAAATTTCTTAAAACATCAATTAACATTTGATTGTAGTGATTAAATTAATGGTAAACGATAAAATAAGATAGGAGGGATATAAAATGGAATTATCCGGTTTTGTTCCAACACATTTCGAATATAAAACTAATCCAACTTAGCAATTGATCCAATATACTTCCAGTCAATCTTACCGACATAAAATAGTTTGTTCATGCTTCTGATCATTCGATTACTAGACATTTCACTTGAAAGAAATGTTTTCGATGTTGAGAACAATACAATCTGACAGAGATTAATTGATCATCTAAGACAAGTGATATTTCTTTGCAAAAAAAAAAAAAATAATTTCAAAGAAGTGATGTGGTTAGGTACTTTTAAAATATTATTGTTAATTTTTATTACATTTTGAAAGGTGGAAATAAATGGATTACAAATTTTATAGGTCATGGTAATAATTGAATTATGTTTATTATTATCCATAACATTATCCAGACTCACTAATGAATTTATTAATCGCTTTTAAAATAACAAAGGGCTCTTATAGCTTGTGGTTCTTTTTATATTATGTTTCAAAGTCTACGAAATGCATTGATAATTAAATCTCTCATTAGTTTTGAATGAAAAAATTTCATTTAATTCCTCTATGTAATGACCATTATATTGGAATATGGAAAGAATAAATTTGTAAACCCATCACGTATTATTTCTATCATAGTTATTTTAAAATAAATATTTAAAACATCTCGTAACTTAAAAGATCAATTGATCGAGAATTTATGACAAAAATATTGCTTCAATCATTTTTTTGTTGTTCAGTGAAAAAAAAAAGTTCACTCTTGTCACTATTTTCCCATTATTTACTCCAAGTTAATGTCACTGTCATACAGATTTATAAACAATGCACGCATTGTAAATATATAACAGAAATCCATCAAAAATATGAAAGCTTCACTTCTGTCATATTTTATCGTTTTTTGTTCGAATCCATGTCATTTCCTTATCAATGTTCATTTGAACCATAAAGAAATTCGCCCTTTTGTTGATTCTATCTCATAAACTCAATACTGTCGAGAAAATTTCTGAATAAATATAGAGAAAAAATTTTCATGAATTTTTATTGAAGAATTTTCGAGACTGCATCCTTTGTGAATTCTGATAAATACAAATAACAAAAAATAAATAATAAATTATTCCCCGGTATAACATTTTCATAGGAGGTTTTTGTTTGCTTACATTATTACGAGCAGAAGATAAATGAACAAAAAATTAATCAGTATGCAAATCTGGTCTAGTTAGAAAACTGATAAGCATCTTGTGTTGATAATACCTGAAGCTTCGTTGGTATCTTCTGTAAAACACCTTGGGATTTTGAAAATGCCTAATTATTAATTAAAACTCTAACATGCCTCTGATCATGTAAATGTTTTTATACTAGACGATGCGTTAAGAGAAGGGAAGATTAAAAAATATTATGTTAATTATTATCGATAATCTCGACAAATTTTCTTAGAAATAAACACTTTAGAAGTTCAACTATAAATATATTTATTAAAGTAGAAAAAAAAGTTGTAAAAAATCTTAAACTCAAGTACATAGAGCGTTCGTTATACCTTCGTATTACGCTTTAACGCTTCAGTAACATTAGTGTCTCAGCGTGGAGATATGAAAGCTTAATCACGGTGCAGAAAACGAGCCAACGTTCTCTTAAAAAATATTATAATGATGTTTTTAAAATTTTTTTATTCTACTGAGACAATTAAAAAATATCATTGTCTATTATCTACGGGCATATACTTGTAATAATGATGAACATTTATTACTTATAAAGCGAGATTTTAATTATACTTTTTCATATAATTCAAGTACCTCGGAAACAAATAATTTTAATGCATGTGTAACTGATAATAAATGATGTTCAATTATACAAGCATTAAAGTATAATATTACTCGTAATTTTAACCGAATTATTTCAAAGCAATAATGCATATTTATAATCAATAAATTCTTTCCTAAAATTATTTATTCTTTCCAACCATTAAAATTCAATTATCCTTACAAATGCGATTGTGAGAAATACGAGCGCGTTTAGTCAACTTGATAGAAATGAAAACAAAAAATAAATAAATCTGTTAATTAACGTAAAATTACTTGAGTGAATAATTCTATTCTAAATTTATTGCAATGATAAAATTGTAAAAATATATTGACCATTTAATTAATTAACTACAACCAATTATATCAAGAAAAAAATCATTTATAAAATTAAATTTATCTCATAAAAATCATTTCAATCTGATTTATCTGCTAAATTAGAAAAAAATAATCAATTAAAAATACCCTGACAAACTTCGACAATTTTTAATGGAAATTTTCCACTGAGATTTAACAAATAATCATTGTATGATGATTGAAATATTGATGTGAGTTTGAAAATATCACTCACAATTATTCCTTTTAATTACAATGATATTTCAATTGGGAATCTCTTTAACGCTATTATTTATTTTTCAAACTGATGATTTTCTGCCAATTAAATGGATTAATTGATTTATGTATGATATTTGATTGATTACAGTTGTGACGCAGGCTTACACAGTTGATGTAGAAGTAGTAGAAGGAGTATCAAGGGGTTGTACATCAATCCTCCGATGTGTTGTTCCAAGTCATGTGAAAGATCTTGTTCGCGTGGTATCCTGGCTTCAAGAGCCAGCATTTCATATATATCCATCCCTTCAAGGAGGTAATACATATTTTTTTATTTTCCTTTCATATTTTTATCATTTTCCTGTCAATATCTTAACACGAAATATCCGTTATCGAAGTATTATTGTCCGAGAAAGAAATGTAATTCCATGATGCTGACACAAAAGAACTTTGGTATCAATAAAGCTTAGAATGGTAAAGAAATCTTGATAAAAGCTTTCGAGACTAGAAACGAAATATTAAAAGTCAATCACACGATGGGGGTGGTAATAAATGAAATGAAGAAAATACGTCTAGAATGAACGCAATAAAGAAAAATATATAGCGTACATTTATTAAAGAACATGAAGAAAATTACCTTTGTAGAAAATGGTTCCATGTCACATAAATAATTTCGTGTGAAATATTATTTTAATTATTATTTTTTTCTAACTTGCTGTTGCCTTTTTTTGCAACAAGAAAAAAACGAAATATCTTTGGAGAATGTAGAGGCTGAGAGAGAAGAGACGATCGATAGACTGGAATCACGTGGGTGCAACGTTCTCTCTGGCTCTTTTAGTGCGGTGAAGATCGATTCAACTCACCTCCATTCTGCTCACACTCTTCTCGCCAAGTTGCATCCTCCCTCCCGTCCGTTGCATTCGACGGAAGCGGCTTTAAGAGAACGCGCGATAAGGCAAGCCAGAGGGATTAGGTCCTGGAAGGCAGAACTATGGAATCCATTTCCAGTGTCTACTTGAGGACGACAGCAGGAGAGTAAAGTGACGAGACAAAAGGAAGAATGAGAAATTATTTTCCAAGTTGAAAGAAAACCAACCACATATCTGCATGGTTTTTATTAATTACACTGATTGATAGATGAATTGATTGCTTTCAATGAAAACCAATGATATAAAATTGAAAATGTATTCTCAGTAATGAGACAGTATGTGGTTCTCTTGACAGTTATGTGTAAATTTCTACACTATGGATTCATTTATCTCTCATGTATTCATCTACTGGTAACATTATCACAGCACAAGCTTTTTCACTCTGAATCTCATTTCGCAATGAACAATTATTTAATTGACAAATTTATTTAATGATAATTGAATGAAAATAAATTCAAATATTCATCAGTGTGAGATGTTATTTGCCGAATACTCATAGCCATTAATTTTAGATCATGATAATAGTGGTAAAATTTATCCATCAAAAGAAGAAAGAATTGAATGTTCAGAGTAAAAAAAATACTAAGCTTCTAACAGGTATTTTTTTGAGGATAACTAACACTTGAAGAATCAATGTCTAGAGTTCTAGAGGTCTAAAAATGTCAAGAGTTGTTCAAATATGTTAATACAAATTTTTTTTTGATAAAATTAACATAAAAGTTTTCTTTTTGAAGTAAAAATTATTCGTGCTTAACTGCTAAAATAACATTAATTTCATCATGACATGGTCACTTTAAAAAATTTATCATATCGAAATTAATAAGAACATTCGTGCCAATAATTTAATTAGCATTTATCAGCAATACATCAAAAAATGCAAATATCAACCTGACCAGCATGCAAACAAAATTAATGAATTCCACAAAAAAAAATATTTCCAGCATGAATTAAATACTGAGTACCATTTAATGTTAATTTTTATCGCAACAACATTGTCTGCTGAATGAATGTAATCATCATAAAAGTAGTAACAATATTTTTCCATGTGCCAAGATATATAGACATGGTAGATTGTTTTCAACTTTGGCATTTAAAATTCTTTACTGCGGTAAACAAAACTAATTTTTATACTGTCCATACCATTCAAGTGGAAGGTGCTTTACAGACAAGTTAAATGGAGAACAAGGAAATAGAGCAGAGAGAGAAGCATTATAAGCAGTTCGTGCGCAACTACTCTGTCGTTGACGACGTGGTCGAGGCTGTAGCCATTTAGGATAACTACTAACCGCTTCGTGCTTTAGCTTATCTCACTCAAGCTTTGAATAGTCTAATATCTTTAGCTCTTTATCTATGAGAAAACCTGAAGAACAGACTACAGGTTTATCTTGTATTGTCAGTAATGAAAGACAATCCAAATCCTTTTTATTCATGTCCTCCTGACAAGTTCATTGATGAAACATTTATTTTGCTTTTTTACTGTGATTTACAGATGGAAAATTTCATCTCCTGCCAACAGGCGAACTTCTTATTCACAGTCTAGAGTTCAGTGACCAGTTCTTGAGCTACAGATGTAGAACAATGCACAGACTGACAAGACAAGTAGTTGTAAGTTCATCAGCCAACATCAGGATAGCAGGTGAGTATCAATAATTGGATTAAATTGAACGAATAAAGAAAATAGAGGAAATTTCCTGATGATCAATTGACTTTTTTTTTTATTAGAACACAGAGGAGTTATTCCACCCACGATTTTAGAGCACTCAGGAATCATTTACGTTGGCCAAGATGAGTCAACATCGTTGGTTTGCGTAGCCAAGGCTTGCCCTACACCTGAGTACAGGTAATGACTGTTTACCAACCAGTTTGTAGATATAATAGCCACAAAATGAAACTTTAAAACCAAGCAGTAAGTTGCAAATGTGTATAGATAAATGAAAATCACGACAGTTTTTTAAACACTAGAGGTAAAAATGAGTATATTTATAGAAAAAATATAATGTAGCTTCCAGCAAATGTATAATTTTTCTGGGTTTTTATTTGTATTTTGTTGCATCCAAACATATATGCGTTATACCCAAGTGTATTATTCTAATAGAGCTTTCGTGCTTTGTTGGAAATATGAGGTAACAGTCTGAATAAACCATTCGTAAATGTCCCTCTATAAATACTAGTTTGCTTCGTTACGTTTTGTCAATTATATCACAGTAGTCTAACAGAAAAAAAAATGTTCAGAGTTTGTATGAAAATTTATTGCCAGTCAAAAGTTTTCAAGAGGATAGTTTTGTTTGAACTATTGTGTAGGGTCGAAGGCCTCATGACCAGTATCGTTTTATCGATAATAAAAAAACCTAGATTCTTGCAAGTCTCTTGCGCGTGACATCAAGAGCTTCCGATTGTACTACTTGAGAGAGATTTTACAATCGAGTGCTTCCACTTTTCTCGATCAAAGTCTTTAAAGCACACTCGCGAGCTTTCTTCACATTTTCCTTACTTCCTGCATTTACTACTCACTCAAGTCCTCTTTCCGATCATCACTTTTTTACTTGCTTACACAATTCTCAACATTTTACACTACAAATTTATCACCGTTTTTACGTTCTTTTTATAATGATTATTTAATACGATCTTAACCTTTTATCTACAGATGTATTATTTCGTTAATTGAAATAATAAATATTCAATTCATGTTTGTATTTTCTAAAAAGAGAATTTTTACAGTGCTTTTGTGCACATTTAGACATGATAAAAATATATGAGAAGAAAATATAACAAGAAATATTTCATTAATTTGATGAGTATTCTGCTTTTATTAAATTTCTATTCAAGAATAACAAATTGTTATCATTTGATTAGAGGTTATTACGAAATATGAAATGAATTTTCACAAATAAAAAACTGAAATTGTTTGATTCAACATACCAATTTTTGTTCGTTTGAAAAAAAATTCAAACTTTTTTGCTATTTGAAATCATCAACTGTGTGTGTATGAAATAAAAAATGCGAAAAAATTTTTTCAAAAGTACATACCTCATCCCCCTTCGAGGTTATAATTATGACCGAGTCGCAAAGTGGTATTCCATTGTTCTTCTTTCTTTTAATCAACTGTTCATCTTTTTCACATATCACATTTTATACATCACATTAAAAGAGAATACTTTTATCTCTACTGAATCACTTAAAAGCTTAAATAAAACTGACGTCAATTGAAATGAGAACAACGCGTTAAAGCTGATCGGTCACTGAACTTTGTAAAACGAATGTAGGTCAAGTTTACGAATTTGGAACAAATGAAAATCGAGGATATAGGGAAGGTACGCGAACACTTGGTGTCACTACTGTCTATTGTATCGGAAAGCTCATAATTTTAAACATTGAGGGCGCTACCGTCTTCCTGCTTGTTTGCCATGTTAAAAAACCTATCATCAAAATCAGAAAATTAAGCTATACAAAGTGTTACATGAACTAAAGAAGCTGTAGCATTATAAAAAAGATGATGTATCATCATTTTTGTGCTGCACAGTGAAATTTTATCGGTTATTCCAGCACCTATGTCACCTTGGAACGCTTTAGGTGTGATAAATTTTATACAAGCGATAATATTAAATTGATTTAGAAACAGTTTTCGTATTCGAGATAAACATCCATGGGGAAGTAACTGTAATATCGATGATCCCAAAGTACCAATACTTTCCTATCTCTCACTGCAACATCATTTTTTTCTACTTTTTTTCCATTTTCCAAGTTTACTCGTTTTCTCTGTATTTCTTAACTCGATCGTGGCTTAACTTTTCGGTAAAACTTCTTGTGCCAAGGGAACCCCAACGAATCCCAACTTTATTACGTATACTCTTCTTTATCGAAATAAATGTATCGATGCTGAAAGGCCATGCCTCCGGCAAATGGCTAAGAATTAAGGTAACAGAGTGAATCAAGAGGATATCCTGTGGACCAATATTATTAAAGATTTATGGAAAACAATATTTAAAGTAAATGGTCTAGGATCTAATGTTGAAATATAGAAGTTGATATTTTATTTTTCCAATATTGGTTCGAAACAATATTCTTATTTATTACCCTACAATATTAAAACCAAGTTGACTAAATTCAAGGAATACTAGGACGATTATTGAACAAACATTTGAATACATAAAATGATAATCTTTCCAGATGGTACGCACAAACTGGGGCAGAGCAAATGCCAGTATTATCAGGACCACGAACACGGTTACTTGGACCAGTATTGGCAATCGAAGCTGTCACGTTATCAGATAGCGGGGTATACCAATGTCTAGCATCCAATCATGGTGGAGAAACAAGTGCTGAACTCAGGTGCGAATAGTATATAGATAGAATTGTTAATCATAGACTAACTCCCGTGTCTAAATTACACTCTAGATGAACACCAATCAAGCTTTGATTAAGCATGAAGCCCGCCTTCAGTACATAATGCATTTATCACCTCATGAAGTACGCTTTCAAGTCTCTCGTTAACATTTAATCATATTTATCATTCTAGACTGGTGGTAATGGCTCCACTGAGTGTTGAAGTATCACCTTCACTCTTGAGTGTTCACCTTGGTGGCAATGCTGAGTTTACTTGTATCGTTAGTACTCATTCCCAAGCTGGTCAACACTTTATTACATGGTACAAGGATGGACGACAACTTCCTGGCGCTGGAAGACAGTCTGAGACGCTCACTCTTAATGGGATTGGCCGAGAAGACAGGGGAATGTATCAATGTGTCGTTCGCAGAGGAGACGATACAGCTCAAGCATCAGCAGAGCTTCAATTAGGAGGTTTGAATTGTCCCAAAGTTGTAGTTTACAATTCAGTTACGGACAAATTTAAATGGTCGCAGATGAGAGCTTTGGCTAGTGAATGTACTGAGTATTCATTCCAAGTTGCAAAGTCGAGTAATATCAGTCTGTATTTTACGCGAGAGTCTAGTCTAATAGTAACCGTCTGCTCAGAGCAGACTAAACCGCAGATGTTTTTTAGACTAGTTTCTCTCGCTTCACTTCTTCCTACTTTACCTCAGTATCGTTCTCTTTCCCTCTTTTGCTAATAACCTGAAAATGAAATCAACTAAATTGCCCTCTACAAGTGAGTACTCGTAGTTTATGCAAAACTTGTTTTAATTAAAAAAATTAAAGCAGAAATACAACTAATTTCAGGATATTCATGAAGTGAACAGAATAATTACGATAATGAGGTGATGTTGAGCAAGTTAATTAATTTACTAGTATCCGTACCTTGGACGCTTGCAGTCTTTAGTCATGAGAGATGTGTCTAGAGTTACTTTGAAGTAATAAGGAGGAAGAAATAAAGCCACCTCCTTCCAACACATTTACACCTGTCTTACACGTACCTCTTCTCACCTTACTATATAAGACTCTCATTGCCCTAAAGCCTGTATATGACGCCATCCCTCGTCAGAGCTTCGTCGCATATCTGATCTAGCGATCTATGAGGAAACCACGAGCTGTGTGGAGAACAGCCCTTTGAAACAACAATGAAGTTAGCGTCTCGCTCGTCAGCGACGGTAATGCATGAAATTTACGTCAAAGGGAACACGAACGAAGAGTAGTTAGAGGTGAGGCGAAAATGGATATTGAGAAAGGCATGAGTCTGTGAGCGAAATGTTGATGATGATGAGAGTCAAATGGGTTAAACAAAAAAGAGGAAAAAGAGAACTTGACGTTAAAACGGTTCCGGAAACATTTAATTTCCATTTTCAAGAACCATCTCGTACCTGCGATCAAGCAGGAATTTTTCAGAATTTTATAATTGCTTGGAAATAAATATAGAGACAAAAAGAGTATTTAAATAATACAAAAAATTTTTTATCATTTTTAAAAATATTTCTTGTTGAAAGAAAGATAATGAGCTCGTTATGAATAATGTGGAACAATATCATAATGAATCTAGATGAATGAATGAGCTTGAAAAAATTCCTTGATTCGTGTTCGTTGCTGGAGAAATTTCTTTATCATGTAATGACAGAATTTTCACCAAGATAGAGCAGATGGTATTGTTAAAGTGCGTTGAATCTTTAATAACTACGTCGATCGACGCTTTTAATTATCTCATCCTGAACTATATATATTTGATCGATACTTTCAGTCGCAGAGTTGTCTTTGTTACTTTACGAATTGCATAATATCTCGTCTCAGGCTTTTTAATCACCTCATCAACTACCATTACATTGAAACTTTTTACGAAAAAAATGAAACAACTTTTTTTTTGTAATATTTTTACATCGTCTGGCTATATCTTGATAAGCCACAGCTAATTAGCGAGTACAAAAATTTGATATTTCATTGCAAATTATATTCAAAGGTAAAGTTCTACTCTGAAAAAACATTCGAATATAGTATTTATGAATATATTTCTCTTGTTCTCTTATCAAGATAAAAGTTTGAGTAATGAACTTTATTTAATATAATAAATAAGTATGAAAGAACCTTAAAGCTAATTGATGAAATAAATATCTCAAGAGTTTGAGTAGAATGAACTTGGAGTTAATTGATAATGCTTTAAATATTAAAAAAACTTGAACAAATAATGATAAGTAAAACTTTAATTTTACTCAATATTTTAATTTCTTATTTCTGTTCCTTTTATTTTCATCTCGTTACTAAACTAAATCGACACTTTTCATTACTGCATATCCTCGAGTATTCTTCCGACATTTTTCTCTACTTTTTTCTTTCCATTTTTTCCTCTCTGGTACCTCGCTTCGTTGTAGCTCCGCTTATTCGCGACAAATTGCAAGAAAAAGTTTGCGAGCTCTCGTAGCTTCCATCCGGGTGGCTCTATTGTCTTTTTCATCCATAGCAACGTTTCTTGAGTCCTCTACGAAGACCTGAATTATATAGATATATATATATATATATATATATATATATATATTTAGTGATGTATATATGTGGTTCATCATTTCCTTTTTCTTGATACTTCTATTTCAATCTTTCCTTTATTCTGCCTTCAATCTGTCGTTATAATAGAAGTGATTCGGTGAAAATGACAGTTATCCAAAATCAAAAGATAAAATTATGTTATCTGTCTGTTTTAGACGCACCACCAGTTCTTCTGTACTCCTTTATTGAACAAACACTTCAACCCGGACCTGCTGTCTCTCTCAAATGTTCTGCTGCTGGAAATCCAACACCTCAAGTCTCCTGGACCTTAGATGGGTTTCCATTACCAACAATCACAAGGTACTTCTTTTGGATTGGAATAATGATAGACTAAAAGTTTTAACTTCAGGAAAAGGTACTTTTTATAATAATTTTCCATGAAAAACATTTTTATTCCAATTAACTAGATACTTTAATCCTAATTTCTTTCTGTTGAAAAAATCTAGATAATGCAGATATTTTTTTAGGATCTGACTTTATTCAGAATCAGCATATTTTTTGTCAGAAAATTCGTTAAAACGAAATGCTTGATTCAACGATTTTTACTAATTTTTATCAAATTGTATATCTAATCTTACAGTCCAATCAAAGCTAATCTATTCAGTAAATACATTTATTTTAACAAAAAAAAACTAGAGCTTTTCATCAATTGAATACTTTGATTATTTATAACAATCAATCTTTGTAACTTTCAGTCTCTTGTTCCTCTTCTGCGACAATTGACCACAAAAGAGTATTTCAAAATAATTTCTTTTTTCAATATGCAACAATTAAATTTCAATTTTAAGCTATAGCAATTTAGTAGACGCCAATTTCAATTCTTTTTTCATCGCTCAACTAGAAAAAGAGAGCGAAAGAAAGCGAATATTTATAGAGAAGCCTGTAACGTCGGCAAAGTGCAGAAATAGAAAAAGATATTCATATATATCAATGCAAAAGTGCACACTCGAATGAGGGTACTCTTGTGCATATGTGCATCAAGCGTTTCTCTCAGCACTAAACGACCCATTGGGACTAAAAAAACTGTCCAATTCTACTCTTCGTTGTATCGTTCCTCGCTTCGTCCCACTTTCCACCTGGCGTAATTCCTTCTCTACCTCAACAAAATTTTTCACTGTCTCTACGAGTATTTCTCGTATATGGTTTCTCGCATGGCCACCAAGTGCTGCAAATAAATTTTCACAACTGCTACTGCACGAGAAAGCAAATGTACGAGTTTGTACTAGTGTCTGTAGCAGACAAAAAAAAATTAAAAATATATCGAGTAATCCTAAATCTATGCTGGTATACGAATAATGGAAGAGTTTAATCGTTTGTTCACAGATTTGTTATCGGGCAGCACGTCACTGTCCATGGAGATGTGATATCTCATGTGAACATTAGTCAAGTCATGGTAGAGGATGGTGGAGAGTATTCCTGTATAGCGGAAAACCGAGCTGGAAAGGTCGTGCATAGTGCAAGACTCAATGTTTATGGTATTTGAAATAGATCTTTCAGTAATTAAATTTTTATTTCATGTAACCGAGTGTTAGTCGTTATCTTAAATAATAGCTTGAAGCTATTGTGAAATATTTCACAAGGCAGTGTTATAATTAACTTAATTTAAGATTAACGTTTAAACGTCAGTTACTTGAGTAATATTTTAAATAATTAAAATATATGAATTAAGTGCTGTAGAAATGCTGAGAAAGTTTGAAGAGAATCGAAAATTAATGTAAAAAGTATTCTAAAGTCAAATGAGAAATTTCTGAACATGAAAGCTCAGTGATAAGATGCAAATGTTAACATAGAATATGTAGTGTGCAAAATTATTGAGAATAATTAACACGCTTTCGTAAGAAGATAACCTTAATGAATAATTTTTAATCTAACTTTAGGTTTGCCTTACATTCGAGTAATTCCAAAAGTAACTGCAGTGGCCGGTGAAACATTGCGCTTGAAATGTCCAGTGGCTGGGTATCCAATTGAAGAAATTAAATGGGAAAGAAGTGGTCGTGAATTGCCGGACAATCTACGACAAAAAGTATTATCCGACGGCACCCTGGTGGTGTCTAGTGTTCAGAAAGAGTTGGATACTGGAACGTATACATGCTGGGCGAGGAACAAGCAAGGACACAGCGCAAGGAGATCTGGAGATGTCACAGTGATTGGTAAGGCCTCTTTATTATGTGATCAACACATTCAGGTTGAGCAGGACATCAATCACGAAGAGAACATCTACGTGTAGCTGTGGATTATCGCAGACTGTGCATCAGCACAGTGATCGATCAATTTGTGGGGTTGGAGAGACAATGTTATCATGACGAAAAAAATTTTTTAGACACCAGGATAAAAATAAATTTACAGGATCAGCAGACCTGGTGGCAATGATGATCAGACGCTTTAGCGTCAAATCTGCTCACTCGTTGGTCTTATTGCTTTTCAGTTCCCCCAAAAATTAGTCCGTTCACGGCAGACCATGACCTTCATCTTGGAGAACGGACAAGTTTCACTTGCTCGGTTACAAGGGGTGACCAACCAGTGCGGATCACCTGGTTGAAAGATGGCCGTGCCTTGGGTCCATCCGAGCGAGTGTCCATCACCAATGTCGATCAGTACAATAGCATACTGATGATTGAAAGTTTATCTCCAGATCACAACGGAAATTACTCTTGCGTGGCCTCTAATCCGGCCGCAGAGGTATCGCACATGCAGCAGCTTGTGGTTCATGGTAATCCTTCCTCTAGGCCCCGCAAATAGCCTAAGGACACCCTGTTCGCCCAAACGTATGGATGTGTGTGCTTGTTGCGCCTTCTTTAAATTATTCTCATCTCTAAAAAATAAATAATCAATTATTAACCCATCCGAGGCCACTGATCAAGCATAAAAGCAAAAAATATCCGTGCTTGTTTCGAAATCGGGGAAAAAACCAATACTGACAGGCTCGAATATTCGTGACACGTACGTTTTTGCTGTTCCAATCACTTTGATCAGTGGCGCAGAGCCTCTCTTTTACATTAGATTGTAGAGATACATCGTTCGTTTCAAGCTCTGCTGGTCGGATTTTTCCTATTGCACGAAACCTGTCAAAAAAGGTTCTGAATGACCTAAATCCTTTTCCAAAATGTTTTCCACTACCTCGACGACTTAATTGAAGTCAATGCGTTGCATACTTTATTTAACGAGAAGAGGATTTTAGTTTTGCATGTACTGAATCTTCTTCATAAACAGATAAATTATTATAAAATTTAAATCACGTCCAAAAGATAAAACTTTTAATGACTTTAAACTTTATGAATTTTGTTGATAATTAAGTCGTCAATGAATGCCATGAAAATGCACGCTCTTGCGTCGGATGAATGGTTTTTATATAAAAAGGTATGAATGTGAACACGATATAAAGTTTGTGTTTGTATAAAACGAAAGGGCGACAGGTGTGAGTCCAGGTGGGGCCACCATCTCTCACGCTCTCTCTGTCTCTTCTCAATTGCTACATTACTTATATGCCTTCATACTGTATATACATTAAACATACTAATATATTATATTTTTATTATAAGTAAAACATGTACGTACTACTACTACTGTCTCATATTGCATAAACCTAAATATTGGATTTATATATTATACATGTACCATAATAGATGATAAAACAACGATCTCATATATATTTACTTGAAAAAAAGTAAATATATAAAATTTTATAATAATACATATATATATTATATACACTTAAATATATATATATATAATTATATTTATAACATATGTATATTTTAAACGTACCTGGTACGAAGTTTGTTGCGTTTTTGCAATCATCTTTTTCTCACTCTCACGTATGGTTCTTTCTTCTCTCTTGACCTTTTCCAGTACCCCCTATAATTGAGCCATTTAACTTCCAAGAGGGACTTTCTGAGGGGATGCGGACCCGGACGGTGTGCGGGGTTCGGGCGGGTGATGAACCCCTCACTATATCCTGGCTTAAAGATGGTCACAGTCCTTTTCAATTATCTCCAAAAGCCTTGTCCGACACTAGCATCTCCCCGATAGACTCCTTCTCCAGTCTTCTGAGTTTATCAAACCTCGCTGCCGAGCATTCTGGCGACTATACCTGCGTCGCCGCGAACCCCGCCGCCGAGGTCAGGTACACGGCCAAGCTCCAGGTAAAAGGTAACTAAATCGGCGACCCTTTTCCTAAAAAACAAAAAAAAAAAAAATCCTATACCATCAATACCTCACACCATCATCGAACCCTTGAGAGTCTTGATCAATAAATTCGTTTAACTACTTGCCATCACAATCTATCTTTTGTGTCGAGTATCAAGTTAACTTTGTATCAAGAAAAATTGCATATTGACTCGTTCGAGGGTTCACAGAAAACAGACATCGGACACGGGATCAATCCTCTCAACCATATCTCACCCTTCACATCAATCCATCCAGCTACTTAACTTGATTTAATCTCTCTCGATTCTCCCATCATCGTTGATACACTATTGTTCTTTGAAACACTCATCCACTACAAGATTCTTGCCAGCTACAGAGTTCACTCATGATTCTATTGATCCATATGAGAATGAACAGATTGAATTAATTAAAATGCATAGACAATGAACTCTCGAAGGCTAGCTAGAATTCTATATCATCATTAGTCTGTCCATAAATTCAACAATCGTTCTCAATTATGAATAGTGAATCCTCAATATCCTTTAATCTCTCCTTTAATTCTCCATTAACTTCCTGCTCCCCATAACACAGTGTGTATTACATTTACGTTGCTTTGGCTCTCTGGGAATGCGTCGGTATCTCGTGGATCCCCGAGGTTTGCTTGACTTGACCAAATAATAAAGGTAACAGTTGCACCTTCCTCAATTTCATGATTTAATTGTCCAAAAAGTGGATAAAATAAACAATTTTACCTGGTGTGCGTGTGTCTGATGACCATTTTTTAGCATGAAATTTCATTACACTAACTCTAGATGAATTAACTTAACTCTTTAGCAACTGTAAATAGCGCATGAATTTTACAACTCCTAATTGCTGATGATTGACTTCAACCCTTGCGCTGGCTACACCCGGACACTGGAAGACGAAGCTGTTTTTTGCATGTTTTTTTAATTATATTCAATTCACTGTAGATTTTATATGCATGTCTTTTTTACATCTTGCATTTTATTATTATTCTATTAATCTTTATCTTCATCTTTATGTTTTTGATCTTACATATCCTGTAAAAGGCGCGGACAAATACGCGCTAGAGCTTTTTTTTGGTAATGAGTAATGACATGTAATTGTCTAATTATCTTTTATTATCTGAGTTAACGTATAATATATTGTGAATGATGAACACTCACACTAGCTTTGTCCGCGCTTTGCTCAACCATCAAGTAATGTAGGCTAGTAGTACGTATACTTATCTTAATTTTGATTATTCGTGTATATCGGACTAGACGTTAGAAGCGAGTAAAATCATTTTTTCGGCTTTTCTCGGTAATCCCTTCAGGCTTTTTGTAGCCGCGGGTATGACCCGCCAACACCTTATAATCCTTATACTCTCTGAATCCTTTGTCTTTGATGCCTCACGCGAGTATTCGGCTCGTTCACGCCAAGTAACTTGAAAAAGTAATTTATCTATTATATTTTACACACCTGCGTCTTGAACGTGACGCATTGCCGTTTCGTAAAACGTTGGATATCCTACTCACAGTATTTCGCTTGTGCAGCGTTTTTATCACTACCGTAAAAGTAGAACCCTGAGCCTGGAAAAAAACCTTACAGAGATTGCGCTTGAATTCACTTGGGACAGATAAGAAAAAGAATTTTGATCAAATTGGTTCAACGAACTTGCAATACATATATTGTCATTTTAGACGTAGTTCATCGAGCTTGCACTACATATATTGACATCTAAAACATAGTGAGGATGAACTTTGTTGTTCCCAAGGGAAATAAAACATTTTCTTTGTCACACGTCCCAGGTGAGATTCGATTGCAACTCAATCTACCATGTTCATCCAATTTCAACCTCTTCACTCATCATTCCTTACACCTAATCTAATTCCACCAACACTAAATCGGACTTTAAACCCATGATTTGGCTGTAAATTAAGATAAACCAATCTTTTTTTTATCAATTAAATAGTTGATTAATTTTGAAAATATTTTTTTAAAATCAATTTATCACTAATTGGAATGTTAAAGATTTATTAACGACACCATCCAATGGATGACGTCGTTGTCGGGATAAAAAATTTTCACGTTCTAATATCGCTTCTGGATAACGTCAGTCATTCGTTCGTTCGAAAGTACGATGACGTTTTTACGACAAGTACTTACTTTTTCTGGTTGGATCACCCACGATGGATAAAGCTAAAATACGGTCGATCTCTGGTTTTTAGTACCACCACATTGGGTTGTCGAGCCAATGGATGCGAGTGTTGAACGAAATCGACATGTTGCCCTTCATTGTCAAGCTCAAGGTGTTCCAACGCCAGTCATTGTCTGGAAGAAAGGAACTGGTAATTTATATCTTTAATTTCATCCAAATAATTAATCCTAATTGGTGACTGATTATTCTATTCAGGTTCGAAAACTGGAGACTACGAAGAATTACGTGAAAGTTCTTACACAAAATTGTTAAGTAATGGAACTCTAGTTCTTCAGCATGTAAAAGAAGACAGAGAAGGTTATTATCTTTGTCAAGCAAGCAATGGAATAGGTACTGGTATTGGAAAGGTAGTTCAACTCAGAGTTAATTGTAAGTAAAACTAAATTTATCGTATATTAATTTCAAAAGATGTCAAAACTTATTTCATTTAATTTCAAAGCTTCTCCTTACTTCGCTGCTCCATCGAGACTTGTGACTGTCAAGAAAGGAGACACTGCCACGCTCCACTGTGAAGTACATGGGGACAAACCTATCACAATAACCTGGATGAAAGGTGGAAAAATTGAATTAAATCCTGCTACAAATTATAGGTAATCATTTGAAACTACTGTCCAGAAGAATAAAAATAACTGAAGAAAATTTATTGACTTATTTTTTTTTTTCTAAAGAGTTACTACAAAAACAGACGTTACTCCTGATGGAGTTGAAGGACAGCTGCAAATTTCCTCAACCGAAGCTTCAGATAGTGGAGCGTACTTTTGCCAAGCCAGTAATCTCTATGGAAAAGATCAACAGTTGGTTCAACTCCTTGTTCAAGGTTTGTTATACGTCGTAACCAACACCTGAGAGTAACTAAACTTTCTACTCTACTCTTCAATATACGCTCGTAGAACCGCCTCAGCCACCTCATGGTTTAGAAACTGCGATGATCGCTCCTCGAAGTATCAACGTCAAGTGGCAGCATAAAGCTCAGGACACTAGCGAAGTTTCCAAGTATATTCTACAGTACAAGGAAGGTGATGGGGGCATGTGGCAACAGCAAGAACTTACCGGACCACCTCTTCCTTATGCAGCATTAATAGATGATTTGAAACCAGCAACTAGATATACAATTCGAGTTATTGCTGAAGGTTCTGCTGGCCGTTCTTCTCCTTCAGCTGAATTAGTAGTCAGAACTGAACCACAAAGACCAGCTGGACCACCAATTAATATTGCAGCAAGGCCTATTTCCCCAACGGAAATAATAGTTTCCTGGTCTCCGCCTTTGCCAGAACTTCGTCACGGAGAAATACAAGGATTCAATGTTGGATTCAGAGAGTCTAGGTTGGAAAGAATTAATCAATGATTCGCTATCAAATAAATTCATCTGAATTCAATTCAAGTATCTGTTACTTGTTTTAGTGGAGGAAACCCATCTTACAATTTCACCTCTGTAGTTGGAGATGGTGAGGATGGAGCTGGAGAACTACGTCTAACAGGATTAAGACCTTATACAAGATATACAATCGTTGTTCAAGCTTATAATCAAGTCGGTTCCGGGCCGCTGTCTGAGCCACTGCATACACAAACATTAGAGGATGGTACAGTTTCAATCGTATTTCCTTGGACAAATAAGATTTCTTCCCGTAACGACATTATTATTTTTCTTTCTATCAGTCTACTGAATCTCTATATTATTCTAGGATGTAGTAAAAGATTGAGAATAACGACTAGTTACAGACAATTTTGCATGCAATACATTAAAATAGAAAAATAAAATTTTATTTTTAAACTAATTTATTATAACTTCAAATATTTAATAACTTTTTGACGTTAATCATTTTTTGTAGCTTTAACCTATGTATAAAATTATAATTTTATTAGAAAACTTTTAAATTTATGTTAGTGATATTTTTATCGAAATTGCCAAAATTTTATCAGTACCCAGCAAACCACCGGAGGATATTCGTTGCACTCCAATGTCATCTCAATCATTACAAATTTCGTGGAAAGCGCCGCCAGCTGCTTATATGAATGGCAATATCCAGGGATATAAAGTAAATTATGAGCCAGTATTGGTCGACTCATGGCTTGGCATCGATGAGATGGAAGTTCGAAAGACTGGAAGTATGACTACGACGTTAGTTGGTTTGAGAAAATATACCAACTATAGTATCCAGGTTCTAGCGTATACGAGAGTTGGTGATGGTGTACCTTCAAGAATACAGTATTGCCGTACAACAGAGGATGGTAAATTGAAAAACAAACTTCACGTTCACTCGATTACATAGTTTAAATTGAAATAAAATTGATTTTCACAGTTCCAGGAAGTCCAGCGGACATAAAAGTCGTTGTAAGCTCGCCTCAAGCACTTTTTATCTCTTGGCTTCCTCCTTTAGAACCCAACGGTGAAATTACAAAATACAATCTCTATTCAAGGTAATTGGTATTTTAATTTTCCAACTTTTAAAGTTAACTTGAAAAATAAGAAGTTTTAATGTATCTATTCTTTAAACTATTCAGAATAATGGATGGCCGGGAGGAATTGAACCATGGAAAAAGAGTTTTACCGCCTACCAACACTTTCTTTGAGGTGACAGGTCTTCAGCAAAGAGTGGAGTATCAGTTTTGGGTCACAGCCAGCACTCGAGTGGGAGAAGGACAAAGTTCAGCAGTAGCCGCAGAGATGCCAAAAAATCATGTGGCTGCTAAAATAACATCCTTTGGTGGACACCTAGTGAGACCATGGAGAGGCACAGTAACGATGGCCTGCCATGCAGTTGGTGATCCGACTCGACAGTGGTTTAAAGGCCTTTTAGAAGAGATAAACACTGATTCTGCTCGTAATATTCAAATATTACAAACGGGTGAACTTGTTATATCAAATATCCAGACACAAGACGGTGGAAATTATACTTGTCAAGTAGAGAATGCTTTGGGAAGTGATCGACTTCATTACAGTCTTACAGTTCAAGGTAATTTACAAATTCATTAGGTTTTTAATCATGTCTAGAGACTAACAACACTGATTTCTCATTTACGATCTCATTCTTCTGTGCAATTAAATTCAATGGAAATTACTCGTGTGGATTAATTTCAAACGAATGAATTATTTATCAGCATTATTTTCATTAGCTTATTCACTAAGCGAATTATTAGCTATTTATTTTATTTCACTCAATTTTTTACCTCCCTCTAGAAGCATTCAAATAAGAAAAATATAAACACTGACCTGAGCTATTGTTGAAATATATTTGATTTATTAACAAAAACAAAAAACGCCTATGGCGAAAAATAGTAATGTATATTGTAAAAATTTTTGCTTCGGTTCTATAAATTAGAATGGGGTGGAATGAATTATTCAAGAAATGCAGATTTTTCATTTATCAATAATAAAATGTTTTTGTTTTTCAAGTACCACCAAATGCTCCAGTTCTCTATGTTACAAGCTCCACGTCGAGTAGTGTTCTTCTACACTGGAAACCTGGCTACAATGGTGGTTCACCTTTAACTGGATATACTTTACATTATCGGACTACTCATGGTAGTCTTGATGAGCTTCAATTACCTCGAAGGGAAACTAATCATGAACTAAAAGGTCTTCTCTGTGGAAACATGTATCATCTATACCTAACGTCTCACAATAAAATAGGCAGTAGTCCACCGTCTCCAGTTCTATCAGTACGAACGCAAGGACAAGCCCCAGGAATTCCTCCTGCTGTAGCATTTCTATCACCAAATTCGACAAGTCTTGCTCTACGGCTTCACACTTGGCCTGATAATGGATGTCCAATTACTTATTTCGTAATCCAATACCGTCCGATCAATGAATTTCACTGGACACTCGTATCCAATAACGTTCAAATGCAGAGAAGGTTTATCGTGACAAATTTACAACCCAGTACTGCATACCAGTTAAAAGTGGAAGCTTACAATGTTGCTGGAAATAATCAGGCCGAGTTTAGCTTCGTCACATTGACAAAAGACGGAGGTAATTTAAATTTACGATGTTGTAGTTGATGCAAATGGCAATTTTGTTAATTTCTCTTGCAGAGCCACCACCCCCTGAACTATCTGAACGTGGAATCTCTGCAGCTCTTCCATTTTATGCAGATGTGCGGGTGATGTTGCCTATGATAATCGCTACATTTGCATTAGTGGCAGTCTGTGCGATTATTGTGGTGAGATGGAAAACTCGACAATTGGGGGACCGGCAGCAGCGGCCGATGAAGGAGACCCAAGAGAATCAGCAGAACGCCGAGACTCAGAGAGAACGGTATTACGCGACTATTCACAAGGTCGCTCTTCAGCAGGCTGCCAACGCCGGCGGGCCGGACAAGATTCCAGGTGAACCTTCGTTACAAAAAAGAAATCAATATTTAAAATACCATTATTTCATAACACCAGATAATTTTAAAACAATTTATTTGACGTGCATAGCATCACAATGAGTGAATAAGAAGTCTACTAGAGCTTTTAAAATGACAAATTCATTCTGACGTGATTTGAAAGGTAGGCAATGCCTCTGGTGGGTTACAGAGACAGCGGAGGACATCTCGCCGTACGCTACGTTCCAGCTTTCGGAGGGGGGCGGGGGAAGCCTGGCAGGGTTGGGAGGGTTGGGAGGTCTGGGCGCCGCGGCGGAAGCTTCAGCGGCAGGACTCCATCCCAACAACACTCTTCTTCACAGCTTCATGTATCACGAGCACGCGATGACGGAAGGGTGCGCGAGTCCACCACCTCCGGCGACGGTAAAAAATGACCTCATTTATGAAAGGATTTTTTCCTAAACACGCAATATAAATCATTTTAAACATTTTGCTTTATCCCCGGGTTTTAAATTAGAGTATGAAGAGTGTGTCATCGCGACGACGTCAACAGAGGAAGCAGCATACTCCCGGAGACGACAGCGACGAGAGCGAATCAGATCCGGATCAGCTGACGCGATCCAGGACAGAGTCCTCCAATCAACTGGATGCCGGCAAGCTCAAGCACAGTATGTATTTTTATGTTGTTTTTATCATGACATTTAATCCTTTGAAGATAGAAAGAAAAATTTGGCTTAAATGAAAAAAATTTCTTTTGATGTTTTATCCAAAGTATAAAAACAGACGTGGAAAATTTTAAGCTTTATAAAAAAATGATAAACAAATTTTTTATTAAATCTCATTTTCATTTTCTCCATTGGATTAAATAAACATGATAATTCTCATGATTTTAAAGATACATTCTAATAATGTAACGTTTGAGTTCGAGCAGTTTCGGACTTCATCTACCACGGTACGTCGAGCACTTCGTCGGATATCTCTCCCATGTGCGAGCAGAAATCTTTACCAAGACGGGGACGGTCCAGGTAAGTAAATAAAAAAAGTTTAGAAAATAAATTAACAAATATCATAAATTATATTTTCAAAGAAAATAGCATCGTGGAGTGCAGTGAGCACAGAAAAACGCAATTCACTATCAACTTCAATACTTAATTAATAATTATAAATTCTAAATATAAACAATTCGGCTGTCTCCTAAGATGGCACGTTCCCAGCAGGAGTTCTCTGCGGATGCTGCTTCCGCCGAGCATGTCAGTGGCTGAGACAGCGTTCGTCAGTAGTCAAGGAAATGTACCCGGAAGTGGAGATAGGAGTGATCGACCGGAGCTGAGTGAAGCTGAGTGTGATATTGATTCACTGAAGAAGCCTAAACTTGGATTGAGAAGCTCGCTATGGTCCAGGCCGAGTACTCAGAATAATCCTTCTTCGGACTACTCAATTGCCGTCTAAATTACCTTGAATCCTCTCTGATGTCTGCTAGTCAACAGTCTATGGCACTTTTATGGAATGTTGAGCACTCGTCGTGGTAGACAATTTTATTAAAATATTTTCTCCAAGCATTTTTGGAGACTGGTGATAGACTGAACATGTCGACCATTCACTAGTTGACTTCAAGCTGCCAAGATTATGATCCAAGTCTTCCTTTGTATATTTTTTGGATCTGTCAGGTCAACTTTCCTACGTTTTCACTGCCAAAAACAAAGTAAAGTACGACTTTCTTTATCGATACAGTCGTTAAATTAAATCATCGAAATTTATACTCATTCATTTAACTTATATACCCACGACGAGATGCAAGAATAAATGAAAGAATGGCTGTAATTACATAAACAAACAATTAATTATGATTAATGATTCATTAAATGATGTATACATGGTATAATTGATGTGTGCCAAATGACAATTTGCTCAGACCGCTTGAGGTAATGTCTCAAGCGGACGACCCATCCGAGACCAAAGACTTATTCCAAATATTCGTACGGATTGGTGCAGCTTTTTAGTCAATGCACCTATCTATTAGTATCATTAGGTTTATTGATGAATTAATTGATTTATTAACTGAAAATCTGAATTTATCCAAAGGAAAATGAGAACAAAAAAATTGTAAAAAAAATAAATATGTAGTAGGAGATGTAAAATGGAACGAAAGTGATTCTGATAGGCATTTTTCGTTGTGCATTAAATACACGACGAACTCACAATGTTGCTCTGTTTCATTGTAAAGTTTATAATACGTACGAATATAAACGTTGATTAATTTAAGTCCGTTATAATTATAAGACTTTTAAAAGCGCGCGAAGGACAAGGCCGGCGGCGGCTGATTAATCCGTTGTAAATTTATCACAAGTTAATCCATGTTAGATAAATTAAAAATTAATAAAATGCATAAGAGTGGAATAATAGATGGAGAATATTAATTCTTACAAATATCTATGTATGTACGCGTGACTAAAAAAAAATGTATATACGAGATATAAAAAATATCGTCAATCAAAGTAAATTTAAAAATTGTTTTTAAAATGTTTTTGTACATTTTTTTCTTATCGCGCGCTCTTACAATCTTTTTTCTATGTCTAGTTGATATCACAATTTTCTCTCAAAAAAATTAAGTCAAACTTATAACATATGTTTAAGTGAGAGACTGTGAATTTTATTTATGAAACATGAAGGGGCTACTAATCAAATGAATGATAATATAAAATTAATTAAATTGTACAATAATAAAGAAAATCAGAAGTAAAAATGGAGAATGCTTGTTGAGAGAATTTTTTTTGTATGTATTGAGACCACAAAATGTGGAGTACTTTTGGAGTTGACTATTATATTGTGTATAATGAACATTGTTTTAAAATATTATATCGATCATAGAGTCGATTAAATAAATTGATATCGTGTAAGATCATATTTCGAAGACTTTTTAATATTATAATTTTATTTGAATTTTTTAATGTATTCAATTGTATTATAAAGGTGAATAATTTTTTTGTTATTAATAAAACCAAAGAATAAAATTAAAAAAGTCCAATAACTAATAGCCAGTAAGTTCAGCAAATGTTGAATCCAAATCATCACAAATGTATCGACATTTTTCTTTTTCTTTGAATAGTCTATCTGTAAACATAAAATCATTGTCATCATTAATAATATTATTTTATTTATTATAAATTTAAATTAATAATTGTTACGTTACCTTCACGTGAATCTAAATCTTTCTGCAAAGCTTTCATCATTTTTTCAGCAACAACAGCACGTCTTTCCACTTCATACAATTTTACTTTCAAATCCTTAAGTTGTAATTTAAATCCTTCAACTCGTTGATTTGCCTTTCCTTCAGAGACTTCAAGAGATTTCAAAATGTTTCCGACAATAAAGAGTTCATCCTCTCGTTCGGCAATTTTTCTAGAATTAGTTTATTTTTGATGGAATTATTCTTAGTTTCTATGTAAATTTTTTTGATAAAGAATTCTCTTATCCATAAATCTTCTTTGTATTTTATTTTATCTTCAATAAAAAAGTCATAAAGTTCATTTTTACCATGCCTATTTGTCTATCAAAAGGCTTTTATATGCATAGAATAAATTAAATCCATTTGAAATGACTTATAGAGTGGTATTTTATATTATTAAATCAATTTATAATGATTTGAAAATGAACTTCATAACTATGTTATAAAAATGTTAATAAAGAAACTTGTAAGGAAAAAATTAGTAAAGCTGATTATAATCTTACGCTTCACTAGATTTGACTCTGTCCTCAGCAGCTTCAAGTTCATCTTCAACAAATGCTAATTTCCGTGAAATTTCATCAGATTTAGAGTCTGCATCTTCAGCTATCAATCTTGCTTCTTTTAATTGAGTCATTAACTGGTCCATCCTTTCTTCATCAAGTCTTCGTCTATTTTCCAAAACTTTACAGATCCTCTTTGCATCATCAGCAGTTTCTGATGCTTGTGATAGTTTTACCTGTGCTGCAAGTCGACGTTCTTCAGTTTTTTCTAGGTTTTCTAAACTTTGCTGCATTTTTCTATTAAGAATAGCCAGCTCCGACTGTGTCTGCAGTAATTTGATAATTTAAAGATGGAAAGTTTAAAATTAATCAGAAATAATACTTACGAACCATTAATAAAAATTTCTCCTTCTCATCAAGACTCATGTTTGATTTTTTTAAATTTTCCCGACTTAATTTTAAGTCATACTTCATTTGCTCCAATTTTTTAGCAAGTACACACACTTCATCTTTCAACATTTCTTCACGTTTATTTGCTTCCCTTGCTTGTTGGTCACAAACATCCGCTCTGTCTATAGCAAGATCTTTTTCAATTTTTAAAGCCTGTAATCTCTTTTTAATTGCATTCATATTCTCCAAAGCACAGTACAATTCGACTCAGAAAAAATCACGGAATAAAATAAGTCACCGTAATAACGAATTATTTTTAAAAAAAATATATTTTATTGTTTAATGGAAGCACAATTTCAATAGGTTTTTTAGAAGAAAAAACTGTTGACGAACCTTCGAAATCTAATGTTCACGAAGTACTGTACTCAGTGACTGACGAGAACTATGTTTTATAGGCCGGGAACAATGTAAAAAGAAAAAGTCATTCGATTCTTTAGTTAGACTCAAAGAGATTCCTTCAAACGCAAGAGAACTAGATTCTTCGAGGCACTTCTTCTTTATTCTATCACAGCCATCAAAAGACAATTGCTTATTACTTAACAATTATTTAACTATGTTGTTAAATTATCCCAATAAAAATGTAAATATTAAACTGGATCATGCTTCACAATAAACGTTAGAATAGGAGTTCATATAAAAAAATAAATAAATAATAAGGCTCAATTTTTAGCGAGGCCATTTATTGAAAACTCAGTAATTTTCATATACACCTTTAGAAGTCGACAGTAATTTCGATGATTAGATGAATTTGATCGGCAATTCTGAAAATAAATATATGAATTCTGATGAACGTTGGGTCGTTTTCCGAGCAATAAGCAAGCAAGCGAATGGAAATAAAAATATTTTGCTAAGCAATTTAGCATTTTGCGTAAGCATGATTGTGCATTTGATAATCAAAACGTCTTAATCGATTCGCACAAGTCACACGCTACATGGCAGGTTATTTTTAAATAGTAAAAGGCCAGGATTGAAGTATTCTGCATTAGATAGCTAGCGCTTGATTGAAGCCAAAGGGCCACGACTAAAATAAAGCTCAAGCCACTTTTTTTTAGTCTTAAGCGAATACAAGTAGCACATGGTAGAAAATAAAAATTCTTTGATTTTGATTTGTTGATGGTTTTTCTTCATTTCCCTCTCTATCCTAGTATCCTGTCATCTCAGCGAATGTAAGATCCATATCATCAATGATTTCTTTGCATTTTTCTTTTTCTTCTCTAAGCTCATCTGAAAATCATCAAGATCAGAAGTAAGTAGATTTTATAAAAAATTTTAATATATTTTTAATTGTAGTAGAAGACTACCTTCTTTTTGGTCCACTTCTTTTTGCAATAATTTAACTTGTTTTTCAGCATTAATTGCACGCTTTTCTGCTGCCTTGAGAGCAGCTTTTAATTCTTTTACTTGAACCTTTGAATCTGCTACTCTTTGATTCGCCTGTCAAATGAAATTGATTGTGATAAATTTTTTAAATAAATAAAATTAATTTATATGAAATGAAATTGTTTAAAGTGATGTTACCTTTTTCTCAGATACTTCCAATGATTTAAAAATGTTTTGAACAATAAATAATTCATCCTCTCGTTCTATAATTTTTCTGTACCATGAAAAAAGTTCAAAAAGAGGTTTAGTCGAATAAAAAAATTAAAATAAAATAAACAAAATAACTATACTAACGCTTCACTATTTTTTACACGTTCTTCAGCTGCTTCAAGTTCTTCTTCAACAAGAGATAATTTATCAGCAATTTCTTCAGATTTAGCATCAGCAGCTTCAGCAAGCATTCTTGCTTCCTTCAATTCTTCTGATATCTTATTAATATGTTCCTGAACTTGTCGATTTCGATCTTCTAACACATTACACATTCTGTAATTCACAAATTAATGAAACATTTGCTACCATTGCAAGAAAATTGCAATTAAATGGATTTTATTAATTACCGCTGAGCATCATCACCAAGTTCTGTAGCACGAAGTAGTTTGAGTGCTGCCTGCTGACGTAATTCTTCTTTTTTAGCCAAACTCAACTCAATTTCCTGAACTCTCTTTGTCAAAATAGATCGATCTTGTTCGGCCTAAATATTCAAGTGATTTATCACGCAATTATTTTTTGACTTTGATCTACATTTCAAAACTCTTATTCTCAATGAATATTCATGTTACCTTTGTATACGCTTTTTCACATTGCTCTAGAGCAGCTGATGATTGCTCAAGATTTACTTTGGAGTCTTCATAATCCTTCTCCATTGCAATAAGTTTTTTTCCCAAATCACGTACTTCATCATTCAATAAATCAGCACGAAAATTTTCCTGTTTAGCTTTCGTTTCATTAGCCTCCACTTTTTCATTCGCAGCATCCATCTCCATCTTCAAGGCTGCGATTTTTTTCTTGATCGCCTCCATGGTGACACGGTGTTTGGTGTTACTATTCCGTGATTAATACTACGAAGGACGATTGTCCTAAAATTTAATCTCCTGATCTGCAAACAAAATATAATAATAAATTGCTGATAATTGAATTAGAATGATTAAACGTTTAAGTGAATAATTGATTCATGTTTTGATAAATCGACGCTAATACGTTGTGCGAAGATTAGGACACACTACCGACCTAATTGATATGACGAAAATAAAGCATCTAGTATCACTGAATGTCCATTTCTTCAACATCAATGATGACAAATCATTCAAACAAAACTATCGGCCTGGACACCAAAGTCATCACTTGATAAAAGAAAATTTAATCTTGTAGAATAGGTAATCAAACTTGACACATTAGAAAAAATGACACTCACTTTTGTGGAGAAGATGATCCGTGATGCGAATTCACAACTGGATACCCTCGGATGCTGCGCCAAAATAAAACTAAACGTTGAAGCAGACCTCCTGAAAAACTTTAATCGAATCCAATTCTATAATTGCTTAGCAGGCTTTGGCTGTCGTCCCGCTTTCCACTTGGCTCTTCACTGGTCAACCCCCATCAGTATACTGAGTGGCCGAAATGCGATCTCCTCCACCTCCCCTTGCTATTTTTGGACTAAAAGAATTTCGATGCTTGTACACCAACGTAACTACTCATCACAGTAATCAGTATAAACAAATCTGCTTCATGTGAAAGGTAATTATTATTGTTCATCTTTAATTAAAACAATTTTATCCTTTCAACTAAACTAATTAAGTTACATCACTTGAATTTTAAGTCACAAGAAAATCCTCTTAACGTTCGTTGAATTCCTAAGATATTCGTCCAAAATGTTTGGAATTAAACAATGAGAACTTGTCATAAATTCTTGCTCTCGGCCTAGAACATTTCTGCTCTTCCAACTTAACTATTAAACTACACTTAATACTTCACTAATTATACTTCAGGGTTTATAATAATAAAGAAGAGATAAGTTCCAAATTTTTTATTTAATTTTTTATTTTATACAATTCATTGTTCATTGCAGTTAAAGCATAAGAAATAGAATACTAGCAATTTTTTTTTATGTAAACACTTATTTAGAAACAATTGATCATAAACTTAATATGAAAAATTAAATAGATATTGATTAAAGAATACATAAAATATTAATAATTAATAAATTCTTAAATAATAGTAAAAAAAAAATAATTTATCTAAAATCTTAATACTAATGGCCAAAATCAAATTGGAGATTTCAATGATTCTAATGTCAATTCTGTGCGTGCTAATTTGAATAAGTTACAAGCCGTAATATGACACATTTTTTAAGTAATACATACTTCATATTTTGTTTAACGCTCGTTATTTGAAAATACATACCTAAAAAATTTTATGCATCTTAATGTAGTAATATAAATAATGAATTGATGCAGTCTTTGGATTTCTGTCAGAAAGATCTGCTTTATAAAAAGATAGACAATTTTAAAAAAGACAGTATCAATGCTATTCAAGCCACGATTCAAGTTCACTAATTAAGTATATTTTGAATATGCTTAATGTCAATAAAGCAAAAATTTCTATAACATTACAAACATTTCCTACTATTTTTAAGTACTTAAATTTGAAAGTACCAAATTTTAATTTCTAATAAAAATATATAATAATAATTTTAACGTAAATATAATTGTCAATAATTGCGAAATATTATTAAAGTCTTTAGAAAAATTTAACAGTAAGTTGATTATGAAAATGCAATATTAAATACATTTGATCAATTAGTTAATTTTCAAATGAATAAAATTGATTATCATAATTCGGTAACCCTGTTTTACGACAGTATTATGTTATTTTCATAATAAATAAACATTTGATTATTCATATCTTACAGTATAGTAAGCAAATATGTGCTGGATAAATTAAAATGTGTTTATCCAGCGTCGATGTTCACAGCATCGTCATCTCGATAAATTTGACCCAGTTTCTGAATCAATTGACATGGATAATACAAATACAGGAGTATAGGAAAGCAACAAGTGGACGGCATCGTCTCTGCCAAGGGCTCTAAGTTGTTTTACAAGAGATCCAACAGTACATCCAGTGCCCGCACATGCCAATAATCTGTTTGCAAAGTCCAAGAATTTATTAATCATTCAAATATTCATAGATAAACTTGCTGTCAGTATTGTAAAGCTAACAAATCCCGGATTATAAAATATACATAAATATTTATCACTCACCTTAAAGTAGGACTATCCACATTGCTATCTAAATTAGCAACACGATCACCTAAACCAAGTCTCACAGCTAACAAGCACCAATCTTTACCATGTGGATCTGGAGGATCAAGCATTTGAGCTAATCTTCGTTGAATTGCAGGTCTGATATACTTGACAGGTTGTCTGGCACCAGGAATACAATTATCCATAAAAGTAGTACCACATCCTACAATTTCCCAGACACTTTCTTGTCGGCCATTAAAGGGATTCTTAAACCTTACTTCTTCAAATCCTTTTTCCATTAATGCCGAAAGAATTGGTGCTGGTTCATAAGAATGTAAAACTTCATCATAGTCTCGAAGTTGACTAGGACTTAACCAATGGCGTTCAAGAAGTAATGCAGGTGCAACAATATCAATAGTACAGTCAAGAGCATCAAAAATTACACCAAGTAGTGCAAAACATTGAGATCCAGAACCACGAGGACCTCGTACTCTTATTTCGATGTATCCTTGATCTTCTTCTTCTAAAGTTATAATACTTTCACAAGGACCGACACATAATTTGGATCCACGCCACCACTGATATAAATCCGAATCTCTAGGATCCCAAGTCTGGGTTATTTTTCTAAGCTGAGCTTGTAAATGTGGAAAAAGAGGCATCAAGTGATATAAAGGAGCTTCGGCAGGAAATAAACGTAATCCAGCATGTGGTAAACTTGAAGTTGATGTCCATGGTTCCCAAAGTCCTCGAAGACGCTCCACAAGATTTAAACAAGGGATTTCATACTCAACTTCATCGTCATCAACCTCACACTATAATAATAATTTTTTTTGTGCAAAGAAAATTGTATAGTGAATGAATAAAAGAATAGTGTATTTACCGGAATACAAAAATTTGTCATTTGAAGAACTTGTAAAGCTTGATTAGCTGGGCAAGGACATCGTGCTTGAAAGTCTTCCAAGGTATAAACACCAGTGGTACGACCTCCAAGCCGACCTCTTTGCTCAGCACTCAATTGCCAACCTATAACATCTCTCCATAGCCATTCAGGATTTAAGACAATTAATTCATCGCGTAGGATGACGCATTCACCTAAAGCCTGAAAGATTATTCATATGAGTCATCGGTGACAAATAATCCGATCAATGATGAATCCAATGAAATACCTGAAGTTGTTGTGCTAAAAGTTTGCAATGTTCCAATGACACAAGTGGATTGATTTTCCTAACTTCAACTAGCAATTCATTCCAAGTAAACATAACAGGGGAGTCTTCTAGAGTTTGAGTATAATTTTTCCAGGCCTCTGCAAGACCAGTCCAAACTAAAGCACCCTAAAATGTAAATAAATATGATAAGAATCAAGTAAAGAATTAAAATGACTTAACATATAACATCCAATATGCATTTACAAAAGCTGAATCCTCGCTTTTAGAATAAATTACGAGGTAGTGCATGTATATTTATATTTTATGTGGAAAAATGTGCAGATAAGCATGTAAAATTTTGTAAATATTGATTATTAATAATGAAAAAAATGATAAATGGATCGACCTGTTTATCATGATTCGCCACTGGCGCGTACGTAGCCGCTGCGTGCGATTTGTCACGGCGTAGGAAACTTTCTGCGGCTTCCACTCCATCCTATATCATGCGTTGCATGCATTAAGGCTGCTGTTAAGGATCAGTGATAAAAGAATGGACAGCCAAACAAGTCTTAATGACGTTTTGGCTGTTGTTTTTGAGTTCGACTTGAGATATATCTTTCTCCAGTGAACTTATTCAGTTGTTAATGTTGATGATATGATATTAGTTACTTATTAAGTTACTTTATACACGGTTTTTTTAATGTGGAACATGCTGCATCAACACTGATTATTGTTGAGCAAGAGTATATAATACATGCTGGTTTACTCCTAGCAAAAGTAATCCATGAAAATTTATAAAAAATTTAAGCTTGTAATATCCATGAGAAAATATACATTGAAATTATTCTCTCACATCTTTTTTTCTAAATCAAATTAACATATTTTCATATAAATTAAAAGCATCTAAATAATCTGCATAATTCATAAATTTTCATAGTCTTTTCCGCTAGAGCCTGTCTGTTGAATATTTATAGTTATCGTAAATGTATTTGACAAGCATTTAGTCAAAGGATTAAACCAATGAAATAAATTACTAAATTTATTATTTAAAGAAGATTACTTATAAAGAGAGACCCCGATTCGTCATTTGTGAGCGTCTTATCATGCTATGATATCGTGCGATCTTTAGCATACTTTAATATGTCTTCGAGAAATTATCGAAAGTCATCGTTAGTAAGAAATTTTAAATAGAGTGAAGTAATTAATGTACATAGAGAAGTAATTCTGTTACCGTGGGGATCTATTTAAATGAATCCTAATTGAATTAGTCATTTACCTCGAGAAATTCTGCACGAATGTTTGTTAAATAAGAACGTAAAAGTTTCACTCCTGGATTTGATGAATTTGTAGCATCTAAGGCTATCATAATAGGTTCATCTCCAAGTATTGGTTTAAATTCTTGTAAAAATGGTATTAAAGGTGCCAAAAAATTCGTTCCATTTGAATTTGGTGTCTGTGGTTCAGGAGCATATGTCCCGATCAATATCACTTTTATGTCTGTAAACTTCCCAGCAAATCCTAGATACAATTTTTCATTTATATTTTCAATTCTCCAGATTCAATATCTTTTTTAAATTAACATTAGTTACCAATATTATTAGGTGGAATTCTATCCATAATAAAGCGTAACCAAAACCGAGCTTGCTGAAGTTGTACAGTTAGTGGTTCTCGGAGACTTATTGTTATCAGATGCACCGTAGGCAATTGAAATGTAAGGACATGATGATAAGCCGTAAGGAAATCCTCTCGACCGCATAATTCCCAGAAAACACATTCACCACCTTCGTGTAATGAATTAATGTTGTTTAAAGTAACTTGTTTTTATTGGTTTATCATTAAAAAAAAACTGAATTTAATGTACTTACCCACATTTCCTCTGCTCCATTCTACTCCAATTGTTCCCTCGTATTCACTATCACTATATTCGAAACTAAGTGAACCATGTTTACTTGTTACGTCTAGTTCTATGCTTGGTTCTCTCTAGAAAAACATTATTCTCTATGAGATTCTATTTTCCAAAGAAATATTTTCTAGATAAACATGGTAACAAAAACAGTATCTAATAACTTTGTTGAATTTATATATATATACCTTGGTAGAATAATTTTGACTTTTAGATCGTCTAAAAAATCCAAAACTGAAAATGCCAGCTTTCAAAGAATTGATTAAAGATGATTTTCCAGTCCCACAATGGCCCAAAAAGCGAATATGAAGACGATCAATTGCTTTGTGAGTTGGTTGTAATTGTTTGATGTAATTTTCTCGCTGTACCGTCTTTAGAAAAATTAAAAAAAAACATCATGAATAATGTATAAATAAAAATATCAACTACATTTTTATATACTAATGAAGTTAGTTATACGAATTAAATTTAATTAACCCACAAAGAATTTTCCCATGAAAATTATTTTCTTCGAATGATAAACATACTTGGTATCAAGATTAATATTAATTCTCTACTTAATCAGCATTTTAGTATGTGAGAGTGGATTAATTTATATATTTCGTGTAACATAGTTGTGTTGATCATAACTTACATTTCTCAATTTATCTAATAAGTTAGCGATCTCTAAATGGCCATATTTAATAGCAGTAATATCCGCACGAATTCCTCGATATGTTTTATCTACATCACAACCGGATAAACACAAAAGTCTAACGATATCAATGTGTCCATTCCGTGCAGCTACGTGTAATGGTGTAAGTCCCTTCTCATTAGCTGCATCTAATTCTATCCCGTTCTCAATCAAAAGCGATGTCATCGCCTCATTACCTGTGGCGCATGAAATGTGTAGGAGAGTATCTTGTTTCTAGAATATAAAAATATTGCATGTAAGTTTCTTGCAATTGATTTTCCATAGCGAAACAAGAAAACTATCGAAACATACTGAATCTTTTATATCCAAAGGTGCTCCTTGACGTAATAATTGCGATACAGCCTGGATACAACCACGTTTCACAGCACTTATCATAGCATTACTTAGATCCTGAGATGTTTCAGAGTCCTAAATAATAAAAAAATATTTATTTAAATAAATGAGTACCGAATAAAATAAAAACTTTTGAGGTAATAGTCTATCATGATAGGTAAAAAATCAAAAAAATAATTGTAATATTATCTTATTCGTGTATATTACATAATAAAATAAAACTGGTAAATAATCCTAAGTAACTGAATAATTGTTAACGTTGCAAACGCAACAATTAAGTCGCTCAAATTTTTTTTTATCGCAAATAAACATAAAAAACGATCAAAAATATACAACAATCACATATTAAAATCAATAAATAAAACCATTGGATTCATGAACACACCGTGAGAATCCAGGGATGTTTAAGGCACGATTCCGCACTTCCTCGCTCTCTGAAAAAGAAAATTGGATGAATAAATATGTTTTATGAGCAATAAAAAATTTGATAACACTCCATTATATCCAGTTAATATCTTACTTTGGATCTTTGACCAATAAAGAACGTATAAAGTCTTTGGCAATTTCACTGACGTTGCCAAAAAATTCATCATCGAACTGATATTGGCACGCCGCCACATTTGCATAGGTTTCTTGCTTGTCTTCTCCAAGGAATGGAGATGCTCCACTTAACAGTATATAAGTAAGTACTCCCACAGCCCACAAATCCGTTCCTAAACTCAATGGCTCGTAATTCACTATTTCTGGAGCAACAAATTCCGGAGTACCAAACAATGCACGAAGTTCTGAACCAGGCACCAAGCGATGAGATAATCCTAAATCTATCAAAGAAAACAATCTTAATTGGCTTTCTCCGCATAATCAGTTGTAGCAATCCTTCATGAATTAATACAGCAATTAGTTAAACCAAATGTTTTAGTCATTCAAACTACATTTTATTCAACTATAATAATCAATTACTTTTCTCTAATTAAGATTAATTTGGTTAGCATGTTTACCTATAAGTTTAATATTAGGCATAGGTGGTGGTGATGAAAGAAGAATATTTTCTGGTTTAATATCCAGATGAGCAACTTGATGGGAATGTAAATGACTTAAAGCCAATAATACTTGTCTAACCTGCAATAAAAAACTTAATTAATTATTGATTTTTCAAAGTATCCATGAGATAGCATAAACTGAACTCTTTACTCACAACATGAGCAGCTTCAACTTCACTAGAAGGTGTCCAATGGAATAATTCTCCATCGGTTATCAATTCCAACAATAAGACTACCGTTTTCCCTGTATCTATTACTTTGTGCAATGAAACTATGTTTGGATGTCTAAGTTGTGCTAGAAGTCCTGCCTCACGGGCTAGAAAATAATATTATAAATAAATAATCTGATAAATTTATGATGAGCTTTTTCTATTCAGTATCCGTTTTATTTCATAACTGATCAATCTATTAAGATCTTAATTATAAATATTATTTGCTGACAGTAATCGATTATATTTTAATGGAACTTTCTGATACACTGTGACTTTATACACACCGATATCAGCTGCAGCAACACCTCTGGCAACGCGCCGCTTCCTCATTATCTTTGCTGCGTAAACAGCACCTGTCTTTAATTCCACACATTTTTTAACTACAGCAAATTGTCCCCTAAAACATTAAAAATATAAAAATTTTTCATTTCTTCAACCAAATAACATGACTGATACTATTGGAACTTCAATTATTTGCTCTGATTTAAAGACAGAAAGGTTGAGCTTATAAATAAATTTACTCACTTGCCAATTTCCTCAAGTAGCTCGTAGTTTTTTTCGATAGGTTCATGATGAACCTCCATTAAAGTGTCCCAATCAGGGCCTAGAATGATAAAAAAAAACGTTAAAAACAATTTTGAACAACATGGTCACAAAACACTTAAAAATGCATGAATATTATCCTTTGATTGAAAATTGTTTATGTTGTACAATTAATCGGAACCTTTAACCTACAACTTATGATATTTTCCTAAAAATACTGGTCATTCCGATGAAAAATAACATAAATTTTGATCGATTGTATAAGATACTACATTATAACGAACATCTGTCAACGTCAAAGAATATTATCGTCAAGCGAACATAAAAGTTTCAAATTATTAACCTACGTACCACCGTTGGAAGTTGCCAATGGACGCGATGTACCCGGCATCATCTCCTGCACATGCTGAATATTTTTTAATATCAAGTGTCTTCCAAAATGAACTTAAAAAACAATTATGAATATTGTGGCATTTGTCGGTCTTTATCACGCCGGTCGTTTTTATGTTCTGTTGCGTTCTGCCACTGTTATAACCTCACACATTTACGCCATCTCAGATCGAACGAACAACAAATACACACACATCTTTAGGTGCTCACATACACTGCACACAATCAATATGCGTGACACTACTTTTGATGCTACCTGATAATTTGACTCTTTTTCCCTTGTACTAGAATTAATTACTAACTTACGGGTTATTTTTACGGTACTTTGGTATGATTATACTATTAAAAAAAATGAAACGTTAGAAATACAAATATAATAACATTTTTCAAGAGCATAAAAACGACCTCAACTCACGACAATCCTCAACTGATACGTCTTCCCATAGAAACAAGTTTCCTCATAAATTTATGCGTGGGAAGCAGTAAGCTCTACTGAAAATTATTTTCCTTTCACTTAGCAATTAAATCAAACTATTTAATTTCAACATAACTATTCTAAAAAGCCCAGCCCTTTCATTGATGAACGTTTGCATAGAGTCATCGTAGACTAGTCATCAAGTTTAGCATACAATAGACAGGAAGAAAAAGGAGAATTTGTTGTAACAACATTTGCCTAAGTAACATAAATAGATCTAATAAATTTTTATCAATTGTTTTATTATTATGTAAAAATGTATCAAGTCGATGAGGGCATCGAGACATCGTGTGAATATTAAGCCATTTTGTAAATAAAAAATCCTATAAGATAATAAAGAAATAGAAAAATTATGTTTATGTTTAAATTATCAATAAAAACATCATTCTGATTCATTATTTTTTTAAACTCTTTCTTAAAATATAATTAATTATATCTCATCAATTAGCCAGGTGTTCTCTAGGTCATGAATAAATTCAATAAATTTTGTTAATTATTTTATTATTTTTTAAAAATGTCTCAATGAGAATACAAAGCTATCGTGTGAACATGAAGCCATTTGTTAATAAGAAATTATACATGAAACAAAATTTTTCAAGTATTGAAATAATGCATGAAAGAAATTGAGTTTTATTAAATTACTCTTTCATTGATTCTTCTGTAGGTTGTGCCTGTGAGCTTTGGAAGTGATCACCTTTCTTCTTAGTTCCAGAGACAATATCATCGATTCTCAACAGTAGAATAGCTGTTTCAATAGCTGTTTTATACGTTTGCATTTTAACACTTAAAGGTTCCCAAATGCCACGCACTTTCATGTCAACCAGTTCACCAGTTTCTCCGTCAATTCCCCAAGTGTTTCCTCCAGTTGCATGTTTAGCTCTAAGAGCCGTCAATGTACGGATAATATTAGCACCACAATTCTGTGCAAGCGTTTTAGGAATAATGTCCAAAGCTTGTGATACTGCTTTATAAGGCCATTGCTCAACACCTGCAATTCCAGCTGCTTTCTCTCCTAGAAGCTGTGAGACTGCCATTTCAACGGCACCACCTCCTGGAACTAGTTTTGGCTCCAATAGAAGATTACGAGCAACGTGAAGAGCATCTTGAAGATTTCTCTCTGTTTCACTCAAAACATCTTTACTGGCTCCTCTAAGAACAATCGTGCAAGCCTTTGGGTCTTTACATTCAGTAATGTAGCAAAAGTATTCATCACCAAGTTTCTTGATTTCAAAAAGTCCAGCTCCAGTACCAACATCTTCGTCACGGAGTTCCTCAGTACGATTGACGATTGTTGCTCCACAAGCTCTAGCAATTCTATTGTTATCAGATTTACGAACTCGACGAATAGCTGAAATACCAGCTTTCATCAAGAAATGAGAAGCTAAATCAGCAACACCTTTTTCAGTAATTACGACGTCAGGTTTTACAGCAATAATATCTTCACAAACTTTTTTAATATGCTCTTCTTCCAGCTGTAAAACACGAGTGAAATCAGTTTCCTTCATGATTTCAACATTCGTCTGGGATTCTCCTTTTTTATACTCGAGATTGCAATCAAGAAGAATGATTCTTGGATTCTTGATACAACGCTTCATTTTGGGATGAGTTATATCTTTATTCAACATAACTCCTTTTAAAACATGACTGTCTTCAATACTGCCTCCGGGGATTTTTTCTACTTTAGCATAACGTTTAATATCAATCTCACGACGTCCATTTTCTTCAAGTAAAACAGTGTGGACAGCATCTAAAGCAATCTGACAAGCTAAATCAGACCAGCGACCGATGAATTTAGTGCCAACACAAGATTTTACAACTTCTACAAGTTTGTTTTTGTCAGTTGGATCGAGAGCTACACTGACTTTATCTTGGAGGATTTCAATCATATCCTCTAAGGCTTGTCGATAAGCTCTAATGATGACAGTGGGATGCATTCCTTGTTCCAAAAATGGTTCAGCAGTTGCTAATATTTCTCCAGCAAGGACAATAACTGAAGTAGTTCCATCTCCGACTTCTTCATCCTGAGTTCTAGCGATTTCAATCATAGATTTTCCAGCAGGGTGTTGAACTGTAATCTCACGAAGGATAGCATTTCCATCATTAGTCATTACGATACCCCCAGTCGGGTCCATTAACATTTTCAACATAGCTTGAGGTCCCAAACATGTTCGTATGACATCAGCAATGGCCTAAAAATTAGCAATTTGTTAATTTACATATATTAATCATGGAAAATAAATTTTTTATAGTTTTTCTTTGCACGTGGGACTCGTGAGAGTATCACCGGTATAGAGCCTTATAAGGGCATGACAAATTATATTAAAATTTCTAGGTTACTAACCTTTCCTGCTTCAATATTCTCTTTCTGTACTTTTCGTCCAGATTGACGTTTTGTATTTTGACCTGCAATAATTAGACGTGTAGACATCATGTTGTTTTTGAGGTTTGAAAGTTATTTAGTATAAAACAATTGACATTCATAAACGAATATTGTAAAAACTTACTTAGAAATAATAATGGAGCACCTGGTCCCATCATCTTTTGTTTTTTATTTAATTAGAGTGTAAAAATAAGAATGCAATTAATATTACACGATTAATACTATCTTTGAAGTAGAAATTACTATAAAAGTAATAAATGTGATCACTAAGCCGAACTTGGGTCAGTGAATTACAAATTCAGAGAGAAAAATCGAAGAATAAACGACTTGGGAGTAAAGCGGCTCAACCAATAATTTTTTATAATTAGTATGACACGAATTCGGTAGGTGGCACTAATCGATAATTTTTTGCTAAAAACCTTCATAAACATTCTAAAGATGTCGCCATTAGTATAATTTTCGAAAAATTTGGCGGTCAAAATTACCGACATAAAATTTTATTTTTTAAAAAAAACCTATTTAAAATGATTAGATGATAAAAATAAATATATATTCTTGAAACTAATTTTTTAAATAATCAAACTATTACAAAAAAACCCAAAGAATCTACAATTTCAAAAATTCACTTTTTTATCTTTTTTTTTTTATAAATAATCGTTTTTTCTAAAATTTTTTTTGCTCAAAAATATTGATTTATTTAAGAGAATATGCATGCCAAATTTTATTGCAATCAAACAACTAGAAATATGTTTTTTAAGATGTCGATAATTTTCCTGTAATTTGTACCCTAGATGAGGCGAAATTCATTTATTTATAGGGACCCTAGGAATTTTTTTGTTAGTTACTTCTATTGTTTTCTTGTGTATAACCGGTCAAACGGGTGAAAGTAAACTGTAAATATAATTGTGTTGTACATTTTAATCAAGATAAATGACAATTTTCATTAATTTATGAATCATTAAAATTATTGAATTGATTAATTCATTATTACAATCCTATGTACTGAGGATTCATCGAATAAGACTATTCATATGAGTATCTTTAGCTGACTCCAATATCGTTATCAGAATTCGAAGGGAATGTCAACATGATAATTTGTTAGCTCATAAATTTGAAAAAAAAAATTATTATTACCTCCATCTGCTCGGTGCGTACTCCTGTTACAGGATCCATTTAACATACGAACATAGGATTATCCCAAATCCTATTTAATCTTTCCAGTTACCCATGAATTAGAAGCTTGGATAATTATTATGTGGTACGTATATACTCAATCGAAAATAAATTATCTAATATTATTTAAATATAAATGAATCTTTGAAAATTTTATTTCATTTTATTAATTACACAATTATTACAGATGGTAAATATTCAGGAATAATGGCAAATAAAAACTCAAATAAAATAAGCGGATATATAATATGAAAATATGTTCGAGCAGTCAAATTATATGATTTTTAAACACTCCGATGTGTATATTTATTGAAAGACGATATATATTATTTTAACGTCTAGCTTTATACAAAGGGCCTCTTCTATGTTTATTTAACTTGGTCTTCTTGATCCTTCCGTCAATCTTCGTCTGTGCATCCTTCCGCTTTTCCATCTTTCACCGGATACTCATTCATTTTTATTTTTCATAATAAACGTATAGTAAAACTTACATAAGACTAGTAAAAATATGACTTTTGAATGTTATTCTTCACCAAAGCTACTGATTAATAAATAACAAACATTGAAAAATAAATATACTCATTAATTTAAAGTTATAAAAATATTTTCAATCCAGATTGTTGGATATTAATATGGATAAACTTGAGCAGATTCATGACTGTGGCGATTGACTTGCATGTTCTCGTGGTTTTCTGAATGATAACATTGGTATTCATTCGATTGGACATGGGATCTATTATTGTAGGGCCTATTTGGTGATGATACTTCCGATGATGATGATACAGAACAGCTATTATTGACCAATATCGATGGAGTTGTTGCATTTTGAATAGCAAATGGCCATGACTGGAAATAAAATCCACTTATAAATAATCTTTCTTAATTTTTTGATTTTTATTAAAATATTTCTATTCTAAATTCAATTTTGACTTTTGTTATTTCAAAGATTAATATATTAATAGTTGATAACGGAAATGTATGAGAGTGAAGAACATCGTTGTTATATGTGATCCGATCCACCTGGCAGACGTAAACAGAGAAAATATTCTTGACTTAATGTCTTTCACTGAGATTTAATCCACCTGGTACAACAATGCTATTTTTCACTCGAAAACTCGCAGAAAAATCACCAAGAATCATTTATTCATTTAATCAATTTAAAATACTATTTCACTTATCAATAAATTTTGTTTTAAAACCTGTTTTTATTCAGAATATTTTCTAGTAATTTTGTTCACACTTTTCATTTCTTTCTTAGATAATTGAGATATTAGTTCAACAATCAGGTAAATCCCAGTTAGAATTAACACATAAAAAAGTTTTAAGTGGATAAAGATGTGAGATAACTCACTAATTACTAGAGACGACTTACCAGTGTTACTGATAAAGATTTCGAATCCAGATAAGACTCACTATCTTCACGTAAAACTGCTTTTAGATGAGCAATGTATGTGGCCGCCAATCGGAGGGTATCTAATTTACTGAGCTTTGTGTCTGCTGGCACCCAAGGCAGGGTTGTTTTGAGCTTACAAAATGCCTTGCTCAAAACCCTCATTCTTGCTCGTTCCCTCGCATTAGCAGCATTTCTTGGTGCCCGTATCTGAAGGTCGTCTTTATTGTATTTCTCTTCCAATGTGAAGTCTTCATCATCAGAGCAGGTTGACACTTTCTTCTTCCGTGGCATTATCAGTTATTTATGTTCTTTGTTATCAGACGGAAGGGATTATACCGTTAAGCGACACTGATCGCGTGGAACTAATTGTCAGAAGCGATAAGTGAATGCCGACGAATTTTGACGATGAATGACTTAACGGAGATAACGACACTGAGTGGAAGAGAAAAAAAAAGAAAAAGCGGAAAATTAGTCATAGGGCGGGTTTTAAAGATGTTCAGAGGCGGGTCATAGTTATCTGTGATTCCACTACCACTGATCAAGATGTTTCTCTTAGTAGCTCTTGGCCCAATCCTAAGTGTTCCAACCATATGTGAACACCTGGAGCACATGCTTCTTCTTGTTTCCTTTTTATACATCATATTCCTCTACTTTGCGTCAGATGGAATGGTTTTCATTGTTTTCGGAAGTATTTGTTATTATTACTAATGACATTAGTGATGAGGAATTTGTGTAAAATATTAATTTTATGAGATTTAATGAAATAATTAAATTCAAGTTAAGAAAAAAATGCAAATTTAAGAAGTATAGTAAATTATTTTAATACATTTTATGGAAATATCCACAATTATTTACAAAAAGACAAAATTACAATAAAATTATTTTCTTAGTCGAGAATAAGAATCTCAATAATCTCATGATTATAATCAGTTTTGTTTTGTATATTAAATAAAAAAGTACGATGCACAATGTTGATATATATACAAAATTCTGGTATTCAATGACAGACTTGATAAAATTTGGAAAGTCCATCTTGAATTGAATTTAAATTTACAATGAATAATGATTTTTTCAGACATAAATTTTTTCCTTGAAATACATTTTCGAGAACCGTAATATCAAGATAATGTACACTTGTCGTTCTCTTTATGTGGCTGCGTGGAAGGATTGGTCCCTCGTCTCCTTGCACAAGCAACTGCATCATTAGGTACATAAGATATTCGCACACCACCGTAGGCTCTTCTTGGAGGTAGTGCGTATGCTGTAGCTTCGTCTGAACTGCTGGATGAACTACAAGTTGAACAGCAACTTTCTTCATCCTCATTTTTAGTCATTCGACCAAAGTTTTCTGTAACATAAATAAAATCAGGTTATTTAAATTATTATTCACCATAATTCCTTATCAAATTATTGTTATAAAAATTTATTTTCAAATTGAAGCATTAAATAATCTTCAATGAGACTTGTCGATAATATTTTAAACACAAAATCAATCAATTAAAATCAAATTTCTTACAAATAATTCCAATAAATACCGAAAGTGATCAATTTACATATTTATTACCATTTGAGGTATTTATGATAACTCGCATCATGTAATAATCAACATTAAAAACCAATTACGCTTGAGAGCACACGTTTTTACAACCTTTAAACCGTCATTATCAACTACCTGGCAGCTAAAAATAATATGATAGTATTTTTTATACCCCAAGATGTGCTGGCAACTTCATCCGGTTGTAAACTACGTGACCGCGGCACTTGCGGTCTACTGGACGTCGCTGAAAGATATGAACTATTTCCTAACGGCATGGTTGATGATGAAGCAGCATTGGTATCATCTCCTTGAAACCTTACTCTTCGAGATGTCGGCGTAGGTGGATCGGCTATTGAAATATCACCAGAGAGATCGGTTGTATCTACCACAGGCACGTTTGTCATCCGCAAAGGTGGAGGTGTTTGCGGTGGAGTTGGTGTTCTTGAATTCTTTTGCACTCCTAAATGGGGAGGTGGAGGTAGTTCTGGCATACTTGATGCATGGGTCGGAATGGAACTTTGAATGCAGTGCAAAGGCTCTCTATCTCTTGCTTGCATCAACCTGGAAAGAAAAAGCAGCTGGTTTCAATTTTTTCTTGCTCTCTTTTTTAATTTTATTTATTGCATTACTTATATACTGTACCTTCCAAGTTCTGGGGAATCGGTCTCTTCTGTATTAGTATTACGGTCTTGCAAAAGTCTTTCAAGATTTCGCTCTAAAATTATTCGATCCAATCCTCCTGATCGAGATTCAAGAGTTGTTAGGTTTTCTGATGTATTGTCTTCATCATGATGATCTGATGAAGAGGCTGGGCCGGGAGTTGTAGCTAACGATGTTGATCCCTGATGATATTGCTTCCGTATGAGTCGTGGAGAATTTTTTGCTGAACTTGATGTATGTAAAAGATGCCTCGTTGAAGTTGGCAGTGGAGGACTAGATGATCCTTCGCTTGGCGTAGGTGGAAGAGGTTTTCTACATTGTCTGGAAAAAATAAAAATATTTCTTTATCAATTTATTTCATCAAATAATTTTAGTTTCTCTTTTATTACCGTAAATTTTTGTGATAAATATTTAAAAAATTAACTGTAAATATTTTTAGAGCTTTTTTTATTTTGGAGCTAAACATCATTCTTGAGTTGTGAGCTCCAACTTTCACAGACAATTTTCTTTTATGGGTTAATGCATTCGTACATTATACCACATATATACTTAAACGTCGTTACACTGAGATCATTGACCATTCTTGAAAAGAATATAAACTTTTATCTTTGAACATGTGTCCATGAATACTATTACAACTTCAACAAATTTTATCGGTAAACACTTCAAGCAAATAAGTCATAAAAAAATTCCAAAAAATATCAAGCTAATTGGTTAATTAGCTCTCAAATGATCGTGCAGAGCAACCGTTCAATTCAACATACTGTGATACATTTTATCTTCAGATGAAGTTAATTTTTTTGTGGACATTTACAACCGTGCTCGTAAAGCATGGATGAACATATGTACAAAATTTAAAAACAATCGAGATAGTATTTAGAAAAAAAGGCTAACTAAAGTGCCTATTGTTCTGAACCGTAATATAAAGTGACCTGTTGTATTGAGCGTATAATAACATTAGTAACTTACCTTAAAAAAGAAGACGGTGGTGGTGGAGCTGGAGGAGGTCCAGCGGAAGAATCGCTAGGTGTTGTAGGTGGTTCACCTTTACTACAAGCAATACTGCAATAAATCGCACCCCTCCTTGGTAAAAAAGGACGTCCAAGAAGTGACGTGTGGCAAGTGGCACAACTAAAACATGCTTCAGTAGCATGCCAGTGTTGACCTTCATGTGACATTTGACCTTGATCAACACCGATAGGCTCTCCACAGCTGTCGCAGTACTCAGCAAAGGACGCGTCAAAACAGTGAAGACAGTAGGGTCGACCTTCTCGCATAACATAACGCTGCCCACCAAGCTGACGATGATAAAGACAAGCTACATAAGTGAAATTGCTGGCTTGAGGTTTGAGGTAATCTTTCTACGAAGTACCGTATTTTTGGGTGCTTAACTTTCAGGCTTAAACATTTTTTTTTCTTACATTCTCTAAAAGTCTGGTAGTTTTATGAATTAAAAAAAAATTTTTTAAATATTTCTCTCAGAGATAAGAATAAACGATTATTTTAAAAAATTTTAATGCACAGTTCTCTTGTTCAAGACTAATAGTAATGATGTTTTCTTCATAAAATATTTTCACGCTTCTCTATGAATTATAAAAAATACTTTCATTTAATTTTAAAAAAAAGTTTAAGGTGAAAATGCAAGTTATAAACGCTACTTAATTTTTTCTAGAGTTAATTAGCTTCTTGAGCTGACTAGGGACTGTAATTTTTTTTTTGAGAGAACATACCGTTAATCTTCTACGTTAGAAATTTAATTTAAAAGTAGATACCGATCTTCAAAATTAATTAGCATTTTTTTCAATAGATCTGGTAGTTTAATAACTTAATTTTGATAATCTCATTACATTACTCCAATCAACTTCTATTGAAAAAATGTAAAAATCCCTGCCTATCATTAATAATTTATAATGTTCAATTTTCAATCCATTAATCACCACTTAAGTGTCTTGAAAAAAAATATAAAAATGGTAAAACTTGTAGAAAGACCGCCTCAACAAAGCTTTTAGATCAAATTAAGTGATAGTACTTGTCGATCGCACTCGAGACATGCAAAATGTCTCATGTGCCAAGCTCTGCCCTCAGCTTCAGTGCATTCATCGGCCAAAATAATTTCATCACATGCACAGCATCGTGGTTTCAATGTCTCTGCATGATGTCGTCCACAATACAGCCTCCCTTCGCGCCAGAAGTAAATGAGATCAACGAGAAGTTGCTTACAAATGCAACAGATAAAACATGCAGGATGCCAGAGAGCTGTCGGTCCAGCTCGATTTGCTCCAATAGCAATTTCTCCCGTGGTGATCAACCTGCCGCATTCACGACACCCGCTACCATGAGGTCGTTCTAGTTGACTTGCATGTCCTCGACCAAGAGCTTCACGTTTTCTCTGGGCAGCAAAAACACGAAGCTCTCGTTTTTCTTCCTCCGTCAAATCTTTACAGTATCTCGCTTCGTTGTCGTGGGGTGGTAATTGCTGTAGTAGTTGCTTCACTCGTTCCCTTTCTCCTGCGCTACCGACATAGGGAATTTTATCCTCGGGCAAGGAACTAAAGTACAAATGAACCTACGAATATAAAGATTATAAATTGAGTTATACTATTATATAAAACCCAGAGAAGATATTATCTGTATATGGCTTATTTAAAGCTCAATATATAAATAGTAAGTGAGTAATAAATGAAAGTTAATTAGAAACTCACCTGATCAGGTCGTAGACCCGTTGGAACCCACGTGTACTCCTCAAGAGCACAACCACTGTCATCATCACTTTGTGAGAGTCTTTGATGATGATGTACTAGGGGATCCTGAAGCACAGGAGGGGCTTCAATGGAACTCTTGAATGACTCTTGATGAGGAGAAATGGCACTCGTGGCTGAAGTCGATGCATCACCAGGCTGAAATGCCATCGCCATCGCCATTGAAGGTACGTTTGTAAGGCCAAGTGGAGGATTTGGCGATTTAACACCTGGCCGGTGATGGCTTTCACGTGGACACCTGCAGGTCTTGCATACTTTCCTGTCAAAAACACAAGAGAATTTCAATAAATAAATTGTTGATATTAATAATATTTTAACCTAAAAATATTATTACATCCTATAATATGAAAGCTAATGATTAACAGCTCGAGGCATTTCCTAACAAGTTTTCCCGGCAGAACGTCATTCCAATTAAACTGATCGCAGTAGGACTCTTTCACATACTTTATAATGAACATACAACCACTACGGGCGATTTGCGATTAATAAATCAAATCGATTATCGTATAATACGCGTGCGGATCGAATTTAATGAAATCCGGACTTATTTCATACACTCCAGGAGAAATGGTGGCTGGATAAAAGAGCGAATTAATAGGGACGAATGATATACAAGCTTAAAAGTATCATGAGACCTGTTGTAAAATTAAATCATGAACCTTGATATGCCTCGAGTGCTTGTCCCATAACGATTATTGCTTTAAACTCATTATTAAATCTCTATCCAAAGCTGGGAATTTTAGAAAATTAATAGCTCCATCGATCGCTTGAAATATATTTGGAGAGAAAAAAGAAGAAGAAGAAGATAAGAATGATGATGCTTTATTTAATGACAAAAAAAAACTGAGCTTGAGAACGAATGAAGACGGAAAAGGAGTAGGGAAAGAAGAAGATATTCGTTCCCACAAAGGGGAAAAAATGAGGTAAAAGGGCGTCACGGTTCCGTAGCTGTACAAATTCGTCTCACTCTTTTTAATGCACCTTTCTTTCAAAATTAGTTATATCCACATCACAGTATCAATGTTGTAGAGAAAATCACCGTGAATTCACTAGATTATAAAAACCATGATCATGATATCAAGAACTTACTCATCTTGATAATTGCACTGGAGAATATTATCGATGTTTTGTTCATTTACTTCCACACATCGTGACACTTGCTGATCATTACATGATCGTTGCTTAGGACTCAAAAGATTGTTCAAGTAATTACGGCGGACACTTGCACGTGCACCTGCCAGAAATTCAACGCATTTCTCGGTGGGACTGGCACGAGGGCTTGGCAATTCAGCACGTTCACTAGCCTCATTAATAATAACATCATCTCTTCGACTTCGTAGAATTTCATCAAGGTATTGTTCAGGTTCTACATGACCTTCGAATTCATTTCCTGATGATACTGATGGTGCTGCCCACGATACTGGTTCATGAAAATCAGCAGCAACATTAACACTTCCTTCAATGTTTTTCCTACCGTACAATTTTCGAAGATATGCCTCCTGGTGACTTCGAGTTGCCCAACATCCTGTTGCCCACCAACGTTTAGATCCGAAAAGTAAACTTGTCTGCCTTCGTCTAGCCAAGCTTGACATTTCGATACTCTCGTTTCCGGATAATCCAATGACGGCATCCTTCTTTGTCGTCGCAATCCTGATCTTCTTCTTCTTCTTTCACTTCCTCTTCTTCTTTTTACACTTTAATATTGCAAATTGTACAAGTTCTACAACTCGATCTTTGATGATTATCCGTATTCGTGTTGATTGATAAAATTATTACGCTCAAGTACGAACGATTGGTATATTGTGTACACCTTGGCATGAAAGACAAAATGAAAAAAATGTATATGTAGATGTGTGGCGCAGGTAGCGAAGCGGAGATTAACGTTTTAATATGAGTCGCGTATCTCTCAAACGAAAGACAAGCCACTTGGGTTGGTAATTGGCTTACTTCTTTCTTTCTTTTCAACTCCACTCACATCGTGAATTGCCAAGCGGCTATATATCGCTTTCCTACGATTGCTTTGCGCGCGTCGTTTCTCATACGAATCTCTTTTTTATTTTCACCTTCACCTGTAACTTCACATGAAAGGTAACTCGACCCTCATGATGTCCAAACAGCAAATTAAATCGTGGCATAAAAAGTTTATCACAAAGATTTCAATTTTATTTTGGATATTAAATGATTGTTGAAAATATATCACTTTAATTCACTTGACCACTTCATTAATCAATAATTAATATGAATTCAAAACAACACTAATGATCACTTTTTACAAATAATGCACTAATTTTTGGGCATGATGTGTATTGAGCACCTGATGAAGACCACATTTCCTTACTTCCTGAGTGGATATACTAGCACGATGGGTTGTATAGAAACTGACTGAGCGTGCCGTCGGCGTTCAAGTCCACGAAGTAGCGGGGCCGCACCGGGCCCCAAGGAAGGGAGTAAGAGAAGAAGTAAGAAGAAAAGGGACCGATCATCTTTGGATAGAAGGAGCAAAAGAGAACACGATAAAGCAACAAGAATGTGTATGTATCTGTATGTGTTGAAGTCAGGCGTTTACGCCCACCCTCTTTTACCTGTTCCATCACTACTTACTACCATTACCACCACCACCAGCTACCACTGATACTACACACCATCATACCATCAACTGTACCAATACATATATTTATATATTCGTTTCTAATACTCGTGGTGTGATAGAATCTCAACGCCTTGGGCCAAGTACTACAAAGATACGCTGCATGCTTGCGTGTCTTCTTGGACCCTTCGACTAGAGTTTTTACATTCCTACTTTGCTGAGCATGCAATCTGAGACTGCAGAAATGAAAGAAGATTCTGGATTTATTGTAAGCTACTTGAGGGTCAAAGATCAAATCCTTCAAAAGGTCTTTGTCGCGTGCCTAAAAATTAAGACATGCATTGGGATTGCGTCAGCACTTTCTTACTCATCTGTTGATTTATCAGTCAAGATTTTGGATAATTTTGTTGTTTTACATCCACCAGTTCTGTGTGGGCATCAAGACCTGAATTCATTTAAGAATTCCTGGGAAAGACATGAAGAAAAAAGCTCTAAAGTAGCTGGTAAGGTTTACTGATAATTAAATAGCCTATTTAATTTTATGTCTAAGCGATTATTTTTAAATATGGGGAAATAAATTATTTTTTAGACAGAGTTTTAAATGATCAACGTCTTTTGGTATTAAATTAATGAGAAGTAATACAAAAAAAATTACTTGAACATTGAAAACCCTGGATTGCATTGAATTTATTGGAATTATTTGAAGCAGTTGAAAAGATGTTCTTTTAATTACAAACCTGCATTAATTTATCAAATGATAATAAAGATGTAAGCTAAAGCAAAGATGTTTTATTTCAATGAATATCTTAACGGCTTTAATTATTTATTTGACTTCATAAACTGCTGGTAACTGTTCATTTATATTGAATTCTATAAAGATTATTTGAAAATCAAAAACATATTTCCAATGTTGTTTTAATTTGTATGTTAGCCTAGAATTTATTTAATAACATTCTGAATAAAATTGCCATTTTTTGCGCTCATAACTTTAATACAAATTTAATTAATGATGACTTTGCCATGCAATATTAATAAAGAAGCAACAAGTTTAAAAGCACAATATTTTATGAATCAAATTCAATTATAAATAACTGTTTCATGGAATTTCGCAGATCAATACGTTCATCAACTACACCGAAACTCCTCTCACCATGTATATTTATCAAGGATTCCAACATAGCTCTCATGTGGATTCTCAATGATTCTGCAAATATACTTTGCTAGCTGACTGTTGATACAACCACTCTGCCGTTGACGTTGTCATGTAACTCTTAAGGTCTTTGTGATGATTACCGAATTTCTTGGTAAGAAATTTTTGAGAAAGGTTTGCTGAAGAAGGTGCCGGTGATTTTTCGAGGCTTGAGGTGGTATTCAGGAGCTCAGACCAAATGAAGGGCAAAATTCTTGGAGAATATGCTCAAGGGTATGTAGAGACTTGCGTCCATACCGCATCCAGATATGTATACATACATATTCAGGGATACCTAACTGGTGGTGGTAGTAAATGTATATACAAGGAGCGCGCGAAGGAAGAGAGATTTAGAAGAAAATTATGTAGATTGCAGTCTCGGCTGTGATAGGTCTTGATGGAGCTCGGACCTACGTGATCCTGCTGCGACGTGCTGGGCATATATTGGCATCCTTGGGAATCAAGACAATGAATATATTGAAAACAAAATCGTATACGATCGATTTCAAATTTCCTGTCAATTTTATTCTTTGATTTGGCACATCGTGTAGTTGAGTCTTGAGAAAGTGAAAAGTGGAATTTCTGCTACTTTTACTAGACTTTTATTACTATCCAGACTTGTCTGAATGGTTAATTCAAGAAGAAAGTAATCTTACTCACAGTGCAAATAAAATCTAATCAACAATTATATTTCTTTTTCGTGAAATAATTTGATATTTTTTCAAAGAAATGAAATAACAACTTTTAAAAATAAATCCATGAGTGGAAACATCACTCAAAAACACTAGCAACCTCAATCGTTTTATTCAATTACACATCTTCCATTATTAAACAGTAGACATGGTCGTTTTGATCTTCAAGAGTATCCTACATATTGCATTATATTTATACATAAAGGCCATGACGAAGAAGAAGAAGAACAAGTTAAAGCATGTTATTATTGGAATGTATATGATTACGGAAATATTTGTATATTAATGTGTGCTTTCTCCAGCACATAATGTAATGTAAATTCAGTGAAACATATTCAAGGACTAGTGGAAAAATTCAGCAAGAGTGTGTATGTCAAATAATAAAAAAAAGCTCCAAGTAATTGCGTATATATTGCTTCCAAGAGCAGTGGCCTTGAAAATTAGCTTGCGGACATTGACATCTCTGAAGATACTCGTACATATATATATGTATTCTGTAGAATAATATTGTAATTATTTACCGCTTAAAGCAGTGAATTCAGCAACAGTCATCACCAGAGACTTATTCTTCAAAAGGTATCCATTCTGACAAGCTGATGTTCCTCTAACGTTCGTAGATGATAACTTAAGTTAGTCAAGTGTGGAAACCGAAAAGGATGCCACAATAAGGCGCAAAGGAATGCAAGTCTGAGCGTTAGTCCAGTGACTGCACGTAAAGATGGGTAATTACTTTTTTACGACCAAGATCTTTGACGCGCCATCTTAACCAGTCTACCTCGAGTGTCTTTCTGGATATTATGTATGTGATTAGCTTGTTATCAATAAGCATATCGACGTCTACAACCATTGGATTTTATTTTTATGACCTATTTTCATAGTTAAATTGACTGGATTTGGATATTATCTGCTTTTGATGAGTGAGAAGAACCAAGTTGATTATATGAGAGAGGGATTTAAGTGTAGAACAGCAGTAAGATGAGACAAGACAGTATCTTATCCAATCTGTTGCAGTGGTAAACTGGTCAACTGATCCAGTAGAATGTTGATGTCAAGAAAACCCAATCAGCTTACGTCGACTTTCATACTCTTACGGGGATTAAACCTCTTGTTGCTTGGAGAAACACTACTTTACTGTCTAGTGAATGGAGCCGAATTACTTAGAAGCTACAACAATATGTAGAAAGTCATGTGTGACATTGATCACGTTAGAATGTATGCATGCATACATAAATATATGTACAGTTAAAGTACTTTGTTTTGCCCTACGGACGTAATTATCCAGAGGAAGCAACTGAGGAGGCAAACTAAGTACATGACAAATTGAATAACAAGCTATATACTCATTATATAACCTAAGGGATTTCTTTACAAACATTTTTTTCATCAAGAATCAATCCGTTGTTCTCTATCTGGGATTCATTCTTTCTGCTTCAGACTGTTATTATTGGATCTAGACATGCGATTGCCTGGTAAATAAGAGAGACAAAGAAACGATTCGTGGTAAAAAATCTTTATTATAGTGTGTTCAGCTCGACCGGAGTGCAATCAACTGCCGAACACTTTTCGCCATCTTCTCAGAGCGTGTTGAAAACCGCAGGTTTGATTCGTCCAGGTATAAAAATCAAGACTCATTTTTAGCAGACAGCCAAGTCTTTAGAGGAAAAATTGGATCAGCAGAATCGACTTTCAGGTCGAGTATTTTATCAAAGGAATGTGGTGAGGTTAAAATTGAGTTATATTTGCTTCAAAAATATTTTTTTAATTGAATTAATCCTTGTATAAGATCATTAAAATAAATATTGTGACGCTTGGATTAAAGTTTTCAATCGATTGAATAATTCTTATCGACATGTATCGTAATACTCGTATTGAAAATAAGATCTAAAAAACTTTATACTCAATGAAACATTGATTTCGATTAAGATTCACTTTTCTAAACTCGATTTTTACTAGTGAAAAATATTTTTACAAACAAAAAATTAATTCTCTGTAGATAATAAACTTTTTATTGGCATGTTAATTGAAGTGGAAAATTCTAGCAATGCAACTTATTCAATAAAATTCAAGTTACTAAATAATTTAAAGGTCAATGCTATCAGAAGTGTAGCTATTTATAACTATGTAATATTTTTTACAGGTGCAATATTGGAGATGCTTGCAGAAAAAATAAATGGTTGGAGATATCAGAAACGGAAGTTGTAGCCATAAGATCTGTCAAGGAAACGAGAGAAATACCATGGAATAAAATTTTTTTTTTTCTACTCTTCGTCATGTTCTTATAGAACGTTTTGTACGCTTCACTAGTTTCGTTGGAAATCTTCGCGTGCCATGCCGAATTACATCGCTCTGCTAAGGTGGTCCAGTGAATGTCCAAGTTAGACAAAAAGTAAAAAAGAATGACAAAAAAAAAGGAAAAGATCCTTTCATTATCGTGTTCTGAGTCATTTCCAATTTATTTGAAGTTCTTGAAATGTCCACCAACTGTAAATTGATTACTCAGTTTTATATATGAACCTATCCTCATAGTGATTGGTATGGTAATTTCATTAGACCCTTATTATAAAGTTAATTGACATAAATTTGAAATATTAATGGGAATAAATAAAATGACTTTTGGAATGAATAAAAATGGCAACAAGTTAACTGTTGAGTATTCTACACTTCCTAACACTTGGCATATTGCCTCGCAGTGGAAACTGACAGCAAAGTGCACAACATATTCCGTATGGCGTTTGCATGAATTATTACCGAGGGGGCTAGATGAACGAGCAATATTACAGAATAGATGAAGAAAAAGGGAGAGCCATAAATGAAGATGACAGCTTCCAGGTGAATATAATAAGTCAAAAGTTGAGATACAGAAGAATATCAGAACTCTCCAGTA